TTACAAAATCCGATTTGGGGGATTAGATTATGGTAGACTTAAAATTTGATTTTATAAGTGTGCCACCCCCATATTTACCAACACACCCACACACACGTAAACATTCCCAAGTCCTCAAAATAGAAAAAAATAGAAAAAGGAATTTTTCAAGTATGGTGAACTTAAACATTGGCAACCTAAAAGTGTTTTTATTTTTTCTTTGGCCTCTTATATACTAAAATAGAACAAAATTTTGAAAAAAAAAACTGGGACTAGTGGGTGGAGGAGAACCCGGCTTTTTTAGCCTATATTTGCGCATAAAAACAAAAAAGAGAGGTTAAATGCAAGAAAGGCGTCAAAAATCTAATAGGGCCAAAAATAAAAAATTAGCGAAGCAGTTCTTCCTCCCCCTCTAGATCCAGTTTTTTTTAAAAAAGGAGTTCAAAAAAATTTTTTGTTGTCTTATAAGTGCCACTATCCACCCAAACAACATTTCCAACATACACACAAACACATACAAACGTAAACAGTTTCCAAAATTAGAAAAATGGAATTGACATAAAATTTTAAAAATATCACCTATACACTTTTGTATTTGTCAGTTTTTTTTCAAAACAATTATTTTTATTAAAAAATTCTTTTATTTTACTTTTTTTTAAATTTATTTTTATTTTTAAAAGGTTATAGAGAATAAATATATTTACTTAATGTTTTTGACATTTTATTTTTTAAAATATATATTTTTATTTATTTATAATTTTATTCATATATGTCTCTAAAATGGAATATAAGCACGCAAATCTAGTGAAGAAGATGGGCAAAAGAATAAAAATAATTTTTTTTTTATTTTTATAAAATCATTTTTTGGGACAAAAACTTGATAAAATATTAATTAAGAAGAATATACCTTCTTAAAAAAATATTTGTTATGTTTTAATACATGAAATCTCTTTTAATTTGTTGTGTTTTGGAAAGAATCAAAAAATCTTAAATGAATTTAGCGGAGCAGTTAAACTGAGTCAACAGATCCCGAGTCAACTGAGTTCCGGTCTTATAACTTAAGAGGGTGTCGATAATTTTTAATGTTCGTGATATCAATAGATAGAGCATTAAATAGTCTACAAGATACCAAAAAATCAAAATTTTCAATTGATTGATAAAATAAAGTTATGATCCAAAAACTAACTTTTTCAAAAAAAAATCTGATTTTACGGCACATTATCTACCATAACTTTTTTTTACCATTGGTCAAGAATTTTGATTTTTTGGTATAACGTAGCCGGTTTAATGCTCTATCCAACGGTACCAAAAATATAAAAGAGTGACCTTAACACTTCTCATTTAAACTTAACTCTCTATCTCTCTCCCCCCTCTCTCTCTCTCTTCTCTCTCTTCTCTCTCTCTCCCTCTCTCCCTCCCCCCTCTCTCTCTCTCTCTCTCCCTCTCTCTCTCTCTCTCTCTCCCTCTCTCTCTCCCTCTCTCTCTGCCTCCAAATATTCATAAACTCCAAAATTAAATAAAAACCAAATTCATAAATCTTCTAAAATAAAAACAACTTAATCCCCTACAATCATACTTCCCCTCTAATTTTTTTAAAGTTTAAATAATACATTTTTAAAATATCCATTTCCAAATAATATTTTGTTTAAATAACACACTTTTAATTAAATATTTTTATTATTATATTAATACACGTTATCACACTCAATTAATTTCGCGCCCTCAAAAATCTTAAATCAAACAAATATTAATTAATTAGACATTCCCCCACGCGCCTTCTAAAATATTCAAAAAATAATTATTATTATTATGGCGTGACCCTAAAATTTTTATTTTTTTTTATATTTATTAAAAATTAATTTTTTTTCTTGTTAATTTATTCCCCCGCAATCCACGAAAAAATAACATTTTTTATTTAAATTAATAAATACTTAATAAAAAATATAAAAAATATATAAATTAATAAAAAAAAATAAAATAAAAATTTTATTGTGTTTTGACCTCAAAAATATATACTAAGCTTAAAATTTTTCGAGCTTACCCCAAGAAAATTATAAAAAAATAAAAAAATAAAATTATTAATAAAAACATTCTTAATAATAAAAATAAAAAAATAAGAAATCTGTTAAGTTCCAAGTTCCAAAAAATTTGTGTTGACTAGAGATCGGACTGGGAGGGTCGTACATACAAGAATCGAGATCTTTTCGAAAAAATCTCAATCTCGATAACCAAGATTTTTGATCATGGTCTTGTCTCGGTCTCTAATTTTGACCAAAAACCTCTTTTAATAAAAAAGTTATTCAAAAATTATTTTTAATATTAAAAAAATTTCTTTCTCAAGGGGAACTAATCCAAATTCTATTCTTTTTAAAAATCCTCAAAAAAAAACTGCGAACAAAAAAAAAGATAATGAACTCTTAAACAAAAGAACAAAAAAAATTTGTTTGTTCTTTCCAAAAATAAAAACTTTAAAAATACCCAAAAATAAATTTTACCGAAAAAATTAAATATTCACAAAAATAAGTGACATACCCATCAATCATTTTACATCATTTTAATAATTTCAAAAAATTTTTAAAAATATATTTAAATATCACCCTCGCCTCAAATTGGCAATTTATTCTTTTACATTTATTTTTAAAATTTTTTTAAAATTAATTTTATCTTTTCAAAATAAATTTCTATTTAATTGGCTCAAATTAAGCTTACAAAAAATAAAAAAAAGTAATTTTTACAAAACACCATGGTTGCTTTAATATGAGCCCGGCTCTATTAATCCCGGCCCGTATATTAATATAAACCCTCGCCCGAAGGATGCCCATTGCAAAATTTAAGCCCACTCTCTAATAGAAGCACATCTCCGATAAAAGCCCAGTCAAAGAAAGAAAACCCCCTCTCTAATAAAAGCTCGCTCTTTAATATAAACCCAAGCAGAGACATATTAAAAATAGAAGCCCATAGCCTATAATATTAGAGCATTTACGGTATATAAAAAATAAATTTCTACTAAAAAACAAACAAGAAATCCGGAAAGTTTCAAAAATCAAAATTCCCTCAATTTTTGGATTAATTATGAATATATTTCAGAGAGAAAAAATTTTTTAAAAAAAGGAAGGAAATCGTCAACAGATTAAAAAATATACTATATAATTAACACAAAAAATCTAAAAAAGGAAAATAAAAAAAATTTTTAAATTTTCCATTTTCTCATGTTTTTCAGTTTGTGAAGACCCATTTTTTAAAAATTTATTTTTATTTATTTTGTTTGAAAGGAAGTTTTCCTTTCTTTTCTCTTATGCGTAAAAAAATTTGTATTTTTTTTTCTGTTTTCGTCACAAAAAAAATTTTTTAAACCCAAAAATAGGTATGTTTTTTATATCTTCCTCATTTTCTTATCAAATGTACTTTTAAAATATTTAAATTTTAAAAAAGTATTAACAGAAAAAAATTTTTTTCTTGGTTAATATTAAAATTAATTCTTCTCTTTTTCTTAAAAATGCCACATTTTAAATGCCACATTTTTACACTTTTACAATATTTAAAATTTAACATTCACCCAATAAAACACACTCACATTTAGTGCTATGCAAATGGACTTTTTTGGTATTCTATAAAATTTTTTCAAAATTTTCCGGTACCGTGTCCAACATTTATTCAAACATAAAAGGTGCTTTTTAAAAACAGAACTAAACATTATAACATCTTATAACAAACTCCGGATATAGTAAACTCGCAAAAAATTTACTCCATATGATAAAAAGTACCTCTCATACCCATTTGCTCCCTTTGCGCATTACTATAAAATCTAACTTAATCTTAAAAAAGTCTAAATTCTCAAAAAAAAAATTTTTTTTACCCACATCATAACTGTAAAAATAAAATAGTAAACATTGCAAAATTACCAGAAAAAAAAAGTTCTAAAAAATATTATTATATCCAAAATTTACTTAAAATAGTTTCTAATCCATCTCTTTCAGAAAAAATTTTTTTTTGCTGTTTATGGAATATATTTTTAATGTTAACATAAAAATAATTCTATAATTATTCTCTTCTTATTCATTTTTAATAGTGTTTTTAAATAAATAATATTTTCTAAATTTAGTCAATTAATCTTTGTAACAAAAAATTAAAGGATTGATGGTCTTTTGTGTGTTTTAATTTAATTTTTTGAAAAAATGTTTCATTTTTCCAGTTTAATAATTTTATTATTTGTTAGGCAAAAAATTTCAGAAAAAAACTTTTAGAAAATTTTTTAAGGCTCTAAAATATCTATTGTCCCTTTTCTTTTGATAGCCCACATATGTATATCTGGATGGACATATCGAGATATTCAATGTACAAACAGATAATCTACGGGGTTTCACGAGCTAAGGCCACTGGGTCTTGGTGGATAGTGAATACATCACCCTATTAAAGGAAAAAGTTTTCATGTTTTAGAACTAAAGTAAATACGCAAAAGGTTATATTTTTGTAGCCGCAATCCCGATATGCTCTTCCCTAATGTGTCCTTCTCTAAATATTAAAAAAATTAAAAAAAATAAAAATGATTATAACCTAAAATTTTGTAAAAGCATAAAATAAGAATTCTTTAAAATTGCCATTAATTAAAAAAAACGTCTATAAAGATACAAAAAAAGAACAAAAAATACATATCCATTTTTAAAGTAACACACAAACACACACCCTATTTATAGAAAAATTTATTATAGTAAGACCTGTTTTTATTTAAAAAAATAAACCTGTCTTTTATCAATATAGTAAATCTTAAGTAAACAGACACTTAATTAATTTAGACCAAAAATTTAGAAAACCCTCCCCTCAACAACAACCACACAAACAAACAACCTCTCTACTAAATTTTAATCTCTCTTTCACCCTTCCCTATAAATAACTTTAAAAAAAAATTAAAAACCAAAGTTGACGACAAAATTTTTTAAAAAATAATTGTGCGTCACTCAACTAATTTTAAAACTTTTTTTATACGCATCCTTCCCTTCCCCATCATCTTAACACCAAAAAAACGCGTCATTTTCTTCCATGTTTTTTGTTTATTTATTTTTTCTCTATGATGCAAAAAAAAACTTTTTTTTTCTGTCTAAAATTTTCCCCCTTTTTTTAAAAATTCTGATCTCATTTCCTTTTTATTTTTTTTCTCTTTTCATTGTTTATTCATCTTCCGGTTTTCCGGATGTCTTACACCCATAATCGTGTTAAAAGTGCAAAAAAAGCTTCTTCGTGTGACCCCCAACTTTCCCTCCCTCCACTCTAAAATTGTGCGCAAAAACCATCTTGGCGCGCTTAATATTTTCCACCCTTTATCTACTCTTAAAAAAAATTTTTTTTGGCGCACACATTTAAAATTTTTTTTATTCTAATAAATAATTCTGTAAAAATTTTTCTTTAAAAATTTTTCAATATACCGTGATATGTTTTTATTAATGCAAGAACACTCTGGTTGTCTAAAAAAAAAGAGGCGGGCGGTGTCCATTAAAAACTCGCGCGCAATTTTTTTACAAGCTTAAAGCTGGAAAAATGCTTTTAATGAAAAGATTATATAAATATATATTAAAAACTTTAATGTATTGGCAAACCATCTCTCTTGATGATGACTTTTGCGCGCTTTCTTCCCACAAAATTAAAATGACATTTGCGAAAAATATATTTCATAGTAATCTTCAAATATCCCCCACACATATCCCGATAATTTAAAAAATATAAAGAATACCCACTAGAAATATCCAAGACAAATATTTCAAGACTCAAGACCGAAAACCCCACAAAAGAGTCAAAATTCAAGACTAAAGACCGAGAGACATGGATGTTCCTAGTTTCCACCATTTTCCTCACACTAACAAATAAGGTTGGCTGTTCCTGGGACTGGCTGTTCTGAATTGGCTGTTCCGAATATTCGGAACTGGAACCGATATCAGAACCGAAAATTTCCGGATATCCAGTCTTTTTTCGGTCCCGGATATCTGGAGCCGCCAACCTTACCACACACATATCTTAGCCAATTTAACATATCCATTTAAAATATCCTCGCAGCCCCCTCCCTACCCCAATTTCTCCCAAAAATTCATATCCTTTTTCTTTCCCTCAGTAAACAAAAAACTGATTTCATTTAAAATGATTTCACTTCTATAATATTTAAAAAATTATAATTTTACTTCCAAAAATGGCCCCATATTAATATGCGCATAAAACACACAACAAAAAAATAATAATTTTATTATTCTACTATATTCACACCCAAATAAAAAAAAAGTAAATGCCAGTACTTAATTAAATTATATATAAAAAATAATAAAAGAAAAAAAAAATTAGTAAAGAAAGATAAATAAAAATGATGAGATAAAATAGAGCCTAAAATATAAGAAAACAACAGATTTTTAAAGGAAGCATTTTTTTCAGAAACAAAAAAGAAACGTTTCCCCCTATTTTATTATTAATAATGGAAAAATTTATTTATTTCCCTTTATTTTTAAATTTATTAAGCTCCTTTTAATATAATTTACAAAAATAGGTAGAAATGGGGAAAGAAAAAAATTTGATTTCGCCAAAAAAAGGGATAAATGATATTCCTGATTGAACCCAGAGTCTCTGTGATTTGTGTGAAAAAATCGAAAGCTTTAAACAATAGACTCAAAATAATGAGGCCAAAAAGGGATAAGCCAAAAAAGGGAGTAAACGATATATTTTTGAATGAACCTAAGTTCTGCTTTTTCCGGGTTTTCTCCTGTTTTTACGTGAAAAACCGTAGGCTTTAACCACTAATCTCAAAATAATAATCAGAAAAAAAAGTAAAAAAAACATTTTAAAAAAAATTCCTATTTTTTGGAAGTACTTTTGTTGCATAAAAATATGTACTTTTTTAAGATTACGTAATATATAAAAATATTCATCAAAAAATATTTGCATTTACGGATTAAAAAAAATTTTTTCTTACAACTCTATTACAAGAAAATCTCATTCCTCATTACAAAAATTTTTTTTTATTTTTTGAATAATTATCAATTATATAATATTTATTCTATAACCTTTAATATTAGTGTTCTACTAATAAATAATGAACTACTTTCCATGCATTTTTATTTACATTATTTAAATTTTCTTTTGTTCGAGTATGTGTGAATTATTCAAAGTAGATACTAAACTAAATGTCCCTCATCCTCCTTCTAATTAGCCTTTTTTTCTTAGAAAAACTTTTGCTTATAAATTATAATAATTTTTTTATATTTTTAAGGGAACATTCATCGCAACTTTCAAAGATCTTTTATTCTATTCTATTTATTTTATCATCCTCAAAAAAATTTTTTTTTCTTCCTTCCATGCTTTTTAGCGAGCATAATAATTCTTGCGCATCTTTTGATATCAACAATTTTATTTGGAATTCAATGACGTCGCTACAAAGTGATGATGAACAAAATAGACAAGAAAGGCAACAAAAACAACTTTGCAACAAGTATATGCAACATAACAAAAACAGACAGATTAATAATGAGCAGATTAATAATGAAACAATAACAACAAAAATAGGACAACCAACAAAAGGGCAGCCAACAAATATTAATTCTGAAAACAGCAGGAATATAAAAAGAACAAACAAAAACAACACTAGAACTACCAACAAAACAGTCATTTTAAGAACACAAAAAACATCTAGAAATAATTCACATTCCCGAATATTATCCAAAATTGTTGTTCTTTTCCTTTTTTGTTATATTCCACTGATGGTTAATGCTCGCCAAAGGCGTTTATTGGATGGAGAGTCTTCCTCCGAAGGAGAATCATTGCCAAATAGTGAAATAACTTTACCAGAAGAGTGCTATCATCGGTAGGACCCAACTCTTAATAGCTCTTAATAGTTCCCCCAATTTCCTTTTTTTAAGATACTCCAATACAGACCATCATTCATCATTAATGCATTGGTTACACAGAAAAAACTCTTCGCATTATTCACCAATTTCGCCATCATATCAGCAGGCACTGCTCAAGTTACAGGTAAAGAAAATAAAATTGCATTTCCGGAACCGACTTTGACTTGGTTTTTGAAACTTTAGTTTAAAAAACTTAAGTCTGTACTATTTTTAATATAACTACCAAAAAAACTTAACAGTTACATAAACACCTATTTACTTTTGCCAAAACTTTTTTTTTAACCTTTCAAAAAAATATTTATAAACAACCAAACAAACAAACACACATATTAACGTCATCATTCCATTTTTAACTTTTTAAATTAAACCAAGTGTTTATTAAGCCCTAAATATTTTTAAAATACTTCCAGATGTCTCTTAAAGGCTTTTGACTACAAAAATTTTTTAACTGCTTAATCCCCTCTTTTTTAGACAAAATAGAAGTAAGAGAATGAAAAAGATTTAAGTGAAAAATATAAAAAGTTAAATTAGTTTTGTCTTAAAAATTTTTGTATTAGTTAAAAGTGCTTATTTTTATCCTCTGAAAAATTAATTTTTAAAGCCTCAAAGAAAAAAATATTTTTAAATTTAAAAAAAATTAATTTTTCTTTGAAAAAAATAATTGAGACAGATGTTTATAATTGGGTATTATTAAAATAAGTAACATTTATTATTAAATATGCAATAATTATTTACGTAGCTAAAGTCAAAAATAGAAATTTTTTCCAAAAATAAACAAGTCCAAAAACTAAAAAGTAAAAAAAATTTCTTAAAGGCACAAGAATTAGCGCATGGAGTGCAGGTTACATCGGGAGCTTCAAGTTGTAATACAAGAAAGATGAAAGTAAGAGATAATTTTGATTTGTAGCAGGGATGTCTTGGGGTACACAAAACCCGGACCTCTTTTTCGACCTGAAATCTGAAATTCCATCCGAAGAAAATTTTGAAAACACACCCAACTTCCCCTAGACATCTCTGATTTGCAGATAAAGATAAAAAGACAAAATAATCAAAAATATTTTTTAAAGGTTATTAGTGCGACTACACCATTGAGGGAAAGAGCATTGTGTCAGTTTGAATATGTAAGCAGACAAAAAAATTTCTTAAAGTCTAAAAAAAATTTTCTTTTCACAGATTCTCAATTACAATCCACAAAGAATTCCATCAACATTTACTGAAGTAAAATGTTCGTGTCCAAAACCATCAATTAGAATGGTTGGAAATCGAATGTTTGAATGCGAACCTTTGCGTTATCAAGTTCGAGTTCTACTATTTGATCCTCAATGTTTAACTTATGTTGAGCATATTGAAACAATAGCATTAGCATGTCTACCAGTTATTCAGGTGGTTTGCATTTTCCCCAAAACATAAACAAAAAAACAGGGATGTCACGCATTTCTGAGCGGGTCAGTTAGTAAATTAAGAGGGAAAAAGGTCTGGTTTCGGGTCGGATTTTGGAAATTTCTCGACTCTGATTTGTAAGTAGCCTGTGACATCCCTGATACAAATACAAAAAAAATTATCTCTTAACCAAATTTTATTTTTAAAGGCAAATACAAACGCTGAAGGCGAATCAGATGAAGCTATGGTACAAGTACCTGCAGATGCACCTTCATTTATTCCAACATAAAAAATTCCTATTTTTTATGAACTACTTTTTTAATTGTACAGGAAATTTGTTATTTTACTAATTAATCTCTCTCTCTCTTTATCCTTTTCTTTTATCCCCTCACCAAAAATATACTTATTTTCCTAATAGTTTTTAAATTTTTTCTTTATCCTTTTTATCGTTTTTATTTAAATTTTTATCTTATTCTTTGTTAATCTCTTCATTTTTTACTATTATACATGTTCAATTCCTTTGCACTCTAACAATTAGAGATGTCCAAGACTCTTGGTTTTAAGTCTTGACTCAAGAATTTTCTTAGGTTTTTTTCGGTCTTGGGGTGTAGTCTTGATCTCGAGTCTTGAGTCTGGGAAAATTTTCGGTCTTGGACCTCTCTACTAACAATATTTTTTTCCAATCTTACATAGAAAATAGCTTATTTTTCGAAATTTAACAACAACACCAACACATTATCAATCTTTAAAAAGCACCTATAATCATCCAAAAAATCTACAAAATTGTTTCCAAAAATTATCTAAAAATTAAGCCAAACATTTTATATTTACATTCCATCCAAATATTTTTTTACATATCTCTCCCTTTTTTGTTATTTTTTCTTTTACATTTTTTTCCAAAATTTTTCTTGATCTCCACACAAAAAATAATATTCAAATAACCTCTCTATCTTTTTTCCTTTTAAATTTTATATCCCAGTTATTTTATTTTTTTAATTATATATCTAATAATCTCACATAAATAATCCCTCCAATCTAGTTAAATAATAATTAATATATATTTTTATATTAATTTACAAAATTTTGATAATAAAATTTACAGCCAAAAAAAAATTTTTTTTTTAAATTTTTGTAGATTAATAAAGTAAAAAAAGAAAAAAATTTTTAAAAAGCGGAAAAATGGAATAAAAAATAAGGAAAAAATAGTAAAAATAAAAGTAAAAAAAAAATAAAAAAAATTGAAAATTAATACGGGTGTGTTGGTAATGCTTGGGCGCGCGCTTTTAAAAAAATATACAGGAAATTTACCCCATTAAAATACAGCTAAAAATTCAAAAATTTAATTAAAACACACCCACCTCGAAACATTCTCTCTTATTGATCATCATCATCATCTGGTTCATCCAATTGTTGTTGCAAATGTGTACGTTTTGTCCATCTCTTGATACGCTTCCATCGCAAACTTGCTCTAAAAAGGAAAGAAAATTTTTTTTAATTTTAAGATAAATTATTTATTATATTCAATCCCATTTTCATGCCTCAAAAATTAAATTAATAACCCCAAAATAAATAAGGGTTGGTTGGTCATCCAAAAAAATTTTTCTAATGATTTTTTGTCGCTAAAATTTTTATCACAGCCATATGTAAATATTGACCCAATTTTTAATTAAATTTAATTTAAAAAATTTTTCTTACTTTCTCATTTCAGCATTCTCCGTTTTTCTAGTCCTTCGCTTTCTTGACCATATCATTGAAGCCAAATCAACTTTTAAACGACCTGCAAAATTAAAAAAAAAATTAATTTTATGTTTATTTAGAATTTTCTAGTCTCAAAAATTGAATTAATAAACCTAAAATAAAAACAGTGATCATCCAAAAAAATTTTTTCTAGCGACTTTTTGTCCCTAAATTCACTTAAACACTAAAATTTCTATTTAAAAAAGCCCCTAAATTAAAAAATTTTTTAATTAAAAATTAAACCTTTTACTCTTGTAATTCCTTTAGATTGTAACATTTTTAATTCTTCAATTTGATCCTTTAAAGTTTCCATTGCAGCAACATCTTTAGCCAAATGATTAATTGTTTCTCTATCAGCAACTTGTCTCAATTGTGCAAAAATTGGACGATAAGCATCCTCTTTACTTTTTGTAGAAAAATAACGATCAGGAAATACCAAATATTTTCCTTTTTCAGAAATGTTTGTCTTAAAAAAAATTTTTTTTAACTCAAAAAAAAAAATTACTCAAAAAAAACCTTAACAATATTTAAATATTCTGCCAACATTCGATGTTCCAAAATAATAGCACGTTTTGCTGCGCGTATACGCATTAAACGATTATAGCGATTGAAACGGGCAAAGTTTACTTCTGAAAAAATAAATTTAAAAAATTTTAAATGACATAATAATTATTGAAAAATTTTAAATGAAAATTAAAAAACGAAATAAAAACGTTTCCCCCAAAAGGATTCGAACCAAACAAAATTCTCAGAAATTAGACCACTACACCACAAAGAAACAAAAGCACAAAGAAAATTTAAGAAAAAAAAATATATATTGAATTAATGCAGCAAAAAAAAGTATAGGATTGGAAGGGTGAAAAAAAACTCAATCAGCCAGCCAGAGCCAGGGGGGCTAAAAATCAAAATTCTAAAATCAAATTTCTGGCGCCTTCTGCGCCAAAAATTTGGCGCAGAAAAATTTCCCCCCTTGCCCCCCCACCGAAAGAGTCCTGGCTACGGGCCTGTCGGTCAGTATTATTCGAGATATCTTGTCGACATTCCGATCCCAATGTCTAGTTTAACAATTAAAAAATTTTTTTAATTTCCCTACCATTCAAAAATCTGTCAGATTCTGTTGTTTGTTCATTTTCCGCCAAAAATACAAGTTGTGTAATTAATTGTTCAGCTTCATTCTTATATTCCTAAAAACAAAAAAAAACTTCTTACTTAAAAAAAATAAAAAATAAACCGTTTCAAATTCATCTCGATAAGGCAAATAAGTTAAAAGCTGTAAATCTTCTTCATCAAATTTTGCAACAGTGTGGGCATCCATTGGATGCGGTGGATGATTGTAAAAATATGGGTTGTATTTGGAACTTGCATAGAGTAGCGTTATTTGTTCAGGAGACAAAAATTCTTTAAAAAATTCCAAAAATTCATAGAATTAAAAAAAAAAACCTTTTTTCTCTTTAATTTGTTGATTCTTTTTGTTTGGAGTATTATTGACACTACTAGCTTCCCCATTACTATTTCCATCCAAATTAATTGCTGCTTCGGAAAGTTCCAAAGAAGTTTTTCGTGATTTGCCACGTATTGCTTCAGCAGCAACATTTTTTGCAGCAGCAAGTAATTGTTCTTTTCTGGACTGAAAAACAAAAAATTTTTTTTGGTGGTTTTTCTGAAAAAAATCTCGAATAGAGCAGACTAGACTAACAAATCAGGAAGGTCACTGGTTACCCAAAACACGACTTTTTTCACCCGAACCCCCGATCCGAATAAAAATGAAAATCAGACCAGAAAACCCTATTTTTCCTCAACCCGTTACCTAACTGATTACAAAAATTTAAAAAAAAACTAAAAAAATACTTTTCTTTCAAGCACTCCATTGCTAGCCATCTCATTATTGTCAGTCATTGATTCTTGTGATGAATTTCGTTTTTCAACAATTTCAGGCAATTCCTCATCCGATTCTTCCTAAATATTTAAAAAATTAAACACAAAAAAAATTAAAAAAGCCTCTTCATCAAAATAATTTCTCTTCGTGCTAAGAGGAGAAGAATTTATTAAATTTGAACTTGACGCTATCGGATTTAATTTTTCTTCAATTTTACGAGAAGAAATATCCTTTAAAAATTAAAAAAAATTTTAAAAATATTTTTAAACAAATTTAAAACCATTTTTCCATTCCTCGTATTCCCATCACATTCCAAATCATTTTTCATCAGATTAGTACTAGTGGAAGTAGAAGGGAGAGTAATATCACTACAAGTAGCCAAATGATCGGAATCTGTGTCTTAAAATAATTTGTGAAAATGTAAATAAAATTATAAAAAATATATACTTTGCTCATCGTTCTCAGACCAATCCTTGACATAACCACTAAAAACAATTTAATTTTAAAAAACCAATGATGAATCATTTAAGAAATGCCATGAACTAGGGAATTAGAGATCGAGCTGTATCTAGGTCTATGCTGGATTTTTCCTGTACACCAAGGGCGTAGCCAAAGAGGCTGACGGGCTATAGCCCCCCCCCCCTCTGAAATAAAAAAAAATGAAAATTTTTGGGAGGATCGACTCATGTCACATCAAATCCAAAGCAAAAACCAATCTCGATCTCTAAACCCACCCAAAACAAAAAATTAAAAGTAAACCGAGAATAATTTTTCAAGATATATTGGCCTATCGGACCACGTATAAAACATTTATCCAAATGTTCCAAAGCATCTGCTAGCGTCTTCTTTCTTCCCCAATCTTTGCTTAATTCAGGCCATTGATTTAAGTGAGAGTGTAATAGAGCATTTAAAAGTTGTAAATCTTCTTGTGCTCCCCAAGGAGTTTGAGTATCATTTTCAAAAAATGTGGGGGGTCCAATTGCATCACAAAAAGTGTAACGATGAGATCGAGTATGAGGGTGTGATTCCATACCCATACGAAGACACTAAAGTGGAAAAAATTTATTATGAATTTTGGAGAATTGACTCAATCCGCATGTTTTGTCAGCAAAAAACTATAAAAAAATATTGTGACTTATAGCGGATCTTTGTTTCAGGACTGCTTTATTGAAGTGGAGACATTCGAAAGAGCTAGGAAAACTGATTGTGAGTCGAATAAAGTGGGGTAAAAGTTGAGACATTCCGTGACCGAGTTTAACTTCTAAAAATATAGAAACTCAGGGGCCAAGACAATCTTAAGGTAGAAATTTAAATATGCAACAGAACAAAAAATTATTATAAGTCACAATAGCCTAAAAGACACCCAATCCCCTAGATAGTGCAAAAATTCAAAATTAATTACAAACCTCAATACAAATTAGCACTTCACACTGTTCACAATCCAAACATTTAGCATAAGTTATTGAAGGAGACAATTCATCCAAACAAAATGAACAAGCCAATTTATTTGCATCAGAAAATGCGGGAAGATTTTGTTGCTCTCGCTTCATTTCATACCAAGAAGATTCAGTTATAGGTTCAAGTAAAACAGTTACACGATAAAATTGAAGAGTTATATCCTTTAAAAAATTGTAGAATATTTTTGATCAAAAATCCCAAAAACTTACTTGATCTTCTCTAGTCTCAGATATAGCCTTTTGCATTAATTAGCAAATAAAACAATATGCATACTTCAAAATTTAACTAATAAATATAAAATTTCTAAGAAGAATATTGGAGCACCAATTAAAAAAAAAATTTTTGTCGATAGTAGGACGAAGTTTTTTGTTGTATAAATGAATAGCTTTTGTTGTATAAATCTGAAAAAGTTTAATAAGTCATAAAAAATAAAAAAAAAAACAAAAAAAAAGAGAATGAAAAACACAAGAAAAACCCCAAATATTTTAAAAAAATAAATTGGCAAAACATTTTTTACCAAAATGACATTTCGCTTTGTTTACAAAATAACATACAATCCAGCGTAAATTTCAAAATGTAAACTCCTTCACTAATCGTCAAAATACCTAATTTCTCTAACCTCCTCCTTTCCTTAGTCATTAGAGTCTCACATGCTCGTTGACATCTCTCTTTCCTCCCTTATATTCCCATACTCTAATAGTTTAATTATTTTTCCCTTATTTTGTGAACTTGCTTTTTTAATCTCGACTTTAAGATTGATCTTTATATTTGACACGGGAAACTGGAACGCCTTTAAAAATTCTCGTTTTACATCAAACAAAAATTTATTTTTTTACGTCAGCATATGCCCACTAGAAAAGAGAACAGAAAAGAAGAAATGATCCCGTTCCTTATTTAACTTTTTTCTTTTCTTTTTTAAAAAGTGATTATGAAATACTAATGTGTTCAAGAAATCAATAGACGATAAACATTAAAATTAATCAAAAATAGAAAAATATTCTAATTAATTTTCCCTCTCCCAAACCATTTTTAGATGTAAAAAATTCAAAAAAATTAAAAAAAAATTCAAAAAAAAAATTTGGCATGTTCGAATTTCTAAAATGCTGGTTTTCTGCAATTTGCAAATTTATTGAAGAAACGGTAAGGCTTCAAGGATACGGAGCTATTCCTTATTTGATGGCAATTAATTCGCTTTTTTGGTTAGTATTTTTTAAATTATTTTTAAAAATCTTTAAAAAAATCTCTTTTAGTTTTGTTTGTTTTTATGCTTCTAGAGAAGTGCAATTACGTGTACTTTATGGCCTTGTTGGTTCAATTCTTGTCAAGGATTTATTATTAACAAAGAAACGGCAACACCCTATGTTGGCGGTGCTCTCATGGTGCTTTGCTGATGTTTTTAAAGTATGAATTTTATTTTAAAAAATTTTTTGGGAAATGGGATTATTAAAGGGACTTAAAAATTTTTTTATCAGTTTAAAAAATACTTCTTATCACTGATAAAAAAATTTTTTATCTAAAAACTGTTCAAAAACTTTCGACCTTAATAACCCCTTCCCCTCGCCCAGCGGGATTCGAACCTCAGTCAACCCCGTCTGCAGGCTAACTTGCTAACCATTACACCACCAAGAACACACAACAGTTCCCTTTTATTTTTTACCTTAATTAAATTAATTTTTTCAATCATACCTTAATTTTAAGTCTATCTCCGTCGGATTCTTCCTTTATTCAGTACACATTCTAACTGAAGGGGTAGACGAAAGAAAAGCATTTTTTGCATCTCTTGCCGCAGGTATTTAAATTTTTATTTTTTTTAATTAAAAAATTTTTTTCAGTTTTTTGTCTAATAATTTCCCCTGTTTATCACCACCACCAAACAAATGAAAAATTGGCATATTATGCAAAAATGATTTTAAATTGGTTAAAGAATGTTTTGATATATTTAATTATTCAACCAATTTTATGGTTATGGGAATGGACAAAATTTTTGTTTTTATTTCGTTGGATGCCTAGTAAGAAGAGTTTTTTTTAATTTTTATGCCTTCTTTCCTAACTAGGGTCTCTAACTTTTTTGGACTTCCTGACTAGGTCTTGACTAGAAATTTTCGAATATCCGAAGATTTTCTAACACGAATTAACTGACCCCTTCTTAATTTCTTCTTAAATTGAGGATTTTTCGGTTTCGAATATTCAACGACCACCCTATCCTTGACTATTATGGCTTGGGAGCTATGGAAGAATAGCTTCAGAGATTTTGAAATCTCTGAAACTGAAGCAAAAATTTGAAAAGGTCGGAGCTGGAGCCACAAAACGCTTAATACTCTTTTTTAATTTCCCCTTAGAAACCTTTTAAAAAAATTTCCAAATCAAAACATCTGCCCTTTTATTAATTTATCTTTCTATGACCTTGAAAAAAAAATACGCGAATCAAATTTGATCTTTTTACAAAATAGCTGTCATTTAAAAATATTTTTCTAACCTTCACGCACTCTTAGAAAAAACATTTTACACGTAATTATTGCGTAACTAAAATTTTTTAAATTTATCCTTTTCAAAGAAAAACGTCTAAAAAATTTAATTAAATTGCTTCCTCGACTATTTAAAAATTCTCTGAATTTTTAAAATCTTATTGTTAAAATGAAAATTTAGTAGGAAAACTTGAAAAAAAAAATTGTCGAAATTTTTTAATAAAAAAATAAAATTGAATCACCTATTAAAATTTAATCCTCTCCCCATTTTTTATTTCCAATATTTAATTCAAACTAAAAAATCCCTTTTTTCTAATATTTAATTCCTAAATAAAAAAATATTTTTGAGGTTTTTTTGTCTAAAAATTACCCCTTTTCTTAATAAATTTAAATTAAATTTTATTTCATTTTCCCTCATTTCATTTCATTTTTTTCAGTTTTAACCAATCAATTATTAAATTTACTGTCTACAATCAAAAATTGGGTAAACTTGTACTTTTGGCAGCCAATTTGCACTTTTGGCAATTTTTTAAAATTGTGGTTTCAATATTTATTTTATTTTTATTGGTTTGTTGATTTATGGAATTTTACAAAAAGTAGACTACTCAATCCTTTATTTATTCAACTTGAACGTTTACTTGATTTTTTTGTTTATATTTTTGGTTGTTATTGGCTTAAACCTGCGCTTTTATATATTGGAAGGTAAAAAAATGAAAGAATTTTTTTTGAGGGTGGAAAGAGAGGAGGAAAAAAAGTTTTTTTTTGTTTAATTAGTAGACAAGAGGGAAAGGAATATTACTTAAAAATTATTTATTTAGTTAATTTCACTCTCTATCTATCTCTTTCGAAAATTAATTTTTTTAATAAAAATCTGAGAAAATAATTGTCTGAAAATTCAAAAAAAAAATTTTTCTAAAAATTTTTTTTGAATCTAAAATTCCGAAAAATTTTTGCTGAAATTTTTAGGAAAAATTTTTTTGAAATTTTTTTTCCAAGTCTAAAAATTTCAGAAAAGATTTTTCTTTTTTTTTCTCAATTTTTAGTCAACCCAATCTTTCAAGAAAAGCTTTAAATTTTTATTTTAAAAATTAATCATTGAATAATTTTTTCCCTCATTTTTAAAGTTTTTCCCCATTCTCTCTTGTAAAAATGAATTTTTTTTATTAAATTATTCTCCCCCTTATTTTTAATAATTTTTTTTTGTGAATTAATAAAAATATTTCACAATTTAAATAATAAGATTTAAAATATATTTTTTAAAAATTCTCCACAAAAAAATTATTTTTTCTCGATTTATTTTTAAAATAAAACTTGTATATACCTAACAGGAATCCATCCAACATAAAAAAATAAATTCTCAATCTTTCCTAATTTTTTTAATTTCAAATTTTTTGGGGATTGGGAACGGCTAGATCACTCTTACATAATTAATTTTAAAAAATTTCAAAAAAATTTCAAGAATTTTCAAAAATATTTTTTTACCCTTCAGAACAATTGGACATCTTATAAAATCAACTTTTGGCCTTATTTGGCGTGCTTCAAAATCCTTAGCTTCACAAACTTTTATTTATCTAATTTGGCCCATATTTTTAATGGTCGGGAATCAATTGAGTTTAATGGCTTTGTTAATTTATTCAAATGCAATATATCCTTTAATTATTATTTTATATGGAAAATATAAAAAATTGGAAGATTTGGTTTTAATTAATTTACTTGGTCCTTTAGTTAAAAAAATTCTTGATAAATTACCACAACGGAATCCTTTGGAGAGTAAGTTTGACAATTTAAAAAAAATTTTTTTAATATTACTTAAAAGAGAGAGTAGGGATGAGGAGAGTATGGATCTGATAGTGTTTCAAAAAATTTTCCTCTTATCAGTTCTGGTAACCTGACCCGCCCCTGGTGAGAAGCATTAGAGAAAATATTTGTTAGGAAATTTAATTTTGAATATAAACTAGAGTTTCGGCAGCGAGTCATCCCAGGACCGAGTTTCCGTGCCTGTAACCCAACTACCTCCCCTCTTCGCCTTCCCCTCATCTACCTTTAAATTAAAAAATTTTTTAAATTCAAAAAATTTTTTGAAAATTTTCAGCGGATTCGGAACACGAATTTGACGAATTTTTACCTTCTGATTTTGAAAATGAAGAAGAAAATGAACAACAAAATATAGAAATAAGTGAAAACATAATTAACAATCAACGTGAAAATTTACAAGGAGGAAACCCTAAAAATAATAACAATGGATTGGGTCTAGACGAAATAGATTCAATTTCTTCTCAACTTTCTTTTGGTATTTAAAAAAATTTTTTTAACTAACCCCCTTCCTCATTTTATTTAACCAAAAAATCTTCCCTTTTCACCGAATTAAAAATAATTTTAAAAATTCCCTACATTCATACTAGTTTCAATAATAATTTTTCCCCCTTTTTGCTGCCCAACTAAAGTTCTAAATGGCAGAGTGATGTTCAAGACTAAAAAATTTTTTCTGAACTCGAGGCCAAGACAGAAAAACTCCCCTATAAGTCTTGATTATCCTTCTACATACTAACTTGACTATTCCAAGTCCAACAAAAATTTTTTTTCAGAACTCAAGATCAAAACTGAAACCCCAAGGAAGTCTTTCCCCCTCTCCTCCTTCCTTATCTTGTCTAACCAAAAATAATTTTAAAAGATTTTCTAATTTCAAATTTTCCCCTATTTTTAGACGATGAAGAAGAGGCTCACGCTCTTCTTTCTGGTCTTCGTCAAATAGATATATCCGAATCTGATTCCGATACCGATGCTTTTTTACCTTCCTTTGCTATTAAAAAACGACAACAACAACAAAATGATAAAAATCTTGTTGGGGAATTTTAGTCAAAAATTTTTTTTTAAATTTTCTTAAAGTCTATTTACATGCTTCTAGAGGATAGATTGAATTTTAATTTCATTTTATTACTCAATTTATTCTCTTAGGATATTTTTAAAAATACACTAACTGATCTCAATTTCCCTTTATTTTATTTTTACTAATAGGGTGCTCGCTCCTTTTTTTTTGTTTCTTGGTGACTAGAAAAAAGGTCTTGCTCGGGTGTTAACTCTGATATCCTTTTCTGATGGACTCGAAAAAAAATTTTTTTGAACAAATAACAGAAACCCAAGTTATCTTAAATTTTTCTAGTCACCAATTCTCCTATATTTTCTAAAATTGTCCACACTTTATTTTTGGGTATTTTCCGAGTTTCTCAATTTTTTTATTTAATTAAACTACCAAAGCATATCCCGATTTGTCCAATGTCCAAACTCCAAAAGTTGCCCAATTTTCCAAATCTGTCCAATCGTGTCCAGGTTCCAAAATTATTTTTTAGTCCACAATTTAAAAATCTAAAGGTAAAAAAATCGGGATTAGTATTTATTTCTCTTTTGCTTATTAAAATATTCTCGGCATTGATTCGACAATTTTAATATAAAAATAAAGTATAAAAACATTTTTAAATCACATTTAAAAAATTTATAAAAGAAAGACAAGTAAAATAAGGGAAGGGTTAAAAAAAGCTGTGTTTTTAAAGAAAATTTTTTTTCTTAATTTCTAAAAAATTAAATTTTTTTTGGAATTTTTAGAAATCCAAGGAGCCCTGAAATTTTTTTGAATTTTTAGAACTTCCAAGATTATGAAAAGTATTTTTTAACACAGCTTTCTAAATATATAATTTTTTGAAGAATTGGGAACCCGTTTCTTCTTTGGCTCTAATAAGTAAAATTAGGATAAAAACTTGGCAAGAGAGTTAAAAGTAAAAGGAATTAGGGAGAAAACAATAAAAAATACCGGGAGAGAGGATTTGGAATTTTTTATGAAATGAAAGAATTTTGATAATTATTAATTAGTGGTACCTAATTAATTAACAAAAAATATAGAGAGAAACAAGAGATTTTTGAGGAGGATTAAAAAAAATTTTTTTAATTTTGTAGAGTAGTTGAGCAATCCAACAAAAAAATTTTTGTACATTTTCCATCCACTTGTTAAATTTTTCGAATAAACCTCAAGGTAAATCTTGCTGTCCTTCCATTTGGTCGAAAGATTATCTTAAAATTAAAAAGTGGAAAAAAATTTTTCAAAAATTTTTTAGAAATTTTTTCGAGGTAAAAAATTTCGTTATTGAACCCCCCCTCTTAAATTTGATTTTTAATCCCAGAAACCAAATTAAAAATTTTTTCAATTTTTAAAAATTTATTAAAATAAAACAGGCAATCTTCCGATAAAAAATTTTTTAGCTCCCCTTTAAAAAATCCTCTTACATAAATTTGACTTCCATCAGATATTGTATCCTCCTTTGGCCGATAACAACAACTTTAACAAAAAAAATTTCAATTTAAAAATTAAAAAACCTTCTAAAGCCAGTTAACCGAATGTCCAATTTGTGTTTAATTTCAACATACGACTAAAGAAAATTTTTTTTTCTTTTTTTAAATTTAAAACTAAGCACCTGGCATCCATATGAACAAGGGAACTAAAAAAGAATTTTTTAATTAGAAATTTTTTTAAATTAAATTACCTCTCCATCACTTAATCTAAAACGAATATGACTTCCTTCGGGTGCCTTTAAAAATAAAAAAATTTTTAATTTCAAGAAAAATTCTTTTTTTTTCTTACAGAAATTCTCCAATAACATTGAACATTTTTGTTAAAGGAAGGATTTAAATTTGTTTGTTGAGTCCGAGAATCCTTAAAATAAAATATTAAAATTAAAAATTAAATGAAAATTAATTTTACATGCAATTCTGGTGACCTAAGTGTTTGCCACTGATCGGTAGCTATTAATTCACCTCCACAAACACTTGGTTGTAACCTTTCGCATTCAACACCACCAAGTGCTATTTTAGAAAATAAAATTTTTTTTAATTTAATTGAATTTTCAATAAAAAATTTTTTTTATTAAATTTAAAAATAAAATTAATTTTTCCCTTTAATTAAAAAATATTTTTTTAATTTTTTAAATTTTTTCAATAAATTTTTCCCAGAAATTTTTTGAAAATTTTTTTTCCTCACCATCAGGGCATTTACAAACATTGCAATTATTTGGATCTGGATAACCGCCAGCTTGGCAACGCAACTAAGAAAAAATATTTTCCGCAACAAAAAAAATTTTTTTACGTTTCTTCCAAATCCTTCACAAGCATTTGGACAATAAATATCATTAATCATTTTTGCATCAAGAAAGGCCATTCTTTCTGTTCCCATCTAAAATTTGTATTTTTTCAAGTTTTAATTTTAAATTAAAAAATACAAAATTGGAAAATACAAAATAAAACAAACTTTAATTCAAGTTTGTTATTTATTCAAGTTTGTTCAAGTTTGTATTAATTCAAGTTTTTATTTTTTACAGTTTATTTAATGTATTTAGCTTGTATTTTTTTCAAGTTTATTTATCAATTTTATTAAGGTTTGTATTTTTCTCGTTTTATGTATTTTTCCAAGTTTATTTTTATTGTTAGTGTTTTTTCTTTATGTATTTCTTGACTGTATTTTTCAAGTTTTGTGTTTATTTTTTCAAGTTTATTTTTTAGTTTATTCAAGCTTGTATTTTATATTTTGTAAACTCTTTTATGTATTTTCCCAAGTTTATTTATTTAATGTATTTTTCATGTATTTTTCACATTTTCAAGTTTTATTTTTCGAGTTTATCCAAGTTTGTATTTTATATTTGTATTTTCCTTATTTTATGTATTTCTCTTCAAGTTTATTTTCTGTATTTTTTTCATTCTTGTATTTCTTTTGTATTTCTCCAAGTTTTATTTCTCAAATTTATTCAAGTTTGTATTTTCTCTTTTTATTTAATTTCTCAAGTTTATTTTTAGTGTTTTTTTGTATTTCCTCATTTTGTATTTTTCAATTTTATTTTTTATTTTTCAAGTTTGTATTTTCTATTTTCAACTTTTATGTATTTTACTTCAAGTTTATTTCTTGTATTTTTTTATTTTTGTATTTTTCAATTTTGTATTTTTTCAAGTTTTATTATTTAATTAAAATAAACTCACAGTTGTAACATATTTTAATTCTTTCGGTACAATTGTAAAATCAGTTACTTGTCTCGCATGCGCAACCCAAAAGAAAAATTAATTTTTTAATTAATTGAAAAAGTAATTAACTGCATGATAATGCATTAACGAGCCATAATCATAACTTTTAAATTTTAAAGAATTTTCAAAAAAACTTTTTTTAAGCTTACGGGGAACGTCTTCCTGAGACCTTTAAATTAAAAAAAATTTCAAAAAATTCAAAAAATAAAAAAAAATTTTTAAGACCTGTTTAATAGCAAAAGCTTGAAGCATTGAACGGAAAGGCATAAAAGACTAAAAAATTAAAAAAAAAATTTTTTTCATTTAATAATCAGTCAAAAATCATCAGTGAAAGCAACTTACAGCAGTTGCCTCCTCCAAAACATTTCTCCAATTTATACTTATATAACGCTCCCTATCTGGTCTTTGACTTTAAAAATAAAAATTTAATTCTTATTTTATAAAATTATTTAACTGTGTATGCCAAAATCCAAGGGCATGGCCTGTTTCATGTGCAACTACATACTCTTCTGCACATTCTGAGCCAATAACTTTAAAGAAAAAATTTTTTTATCTAATAAGAGAAAGGTTAAAGTTTATCCCCAAGCAGGCATCGATCCCAAGACCTTCCCTATTTTTGTCTCCCACCAAGTAGGCGCTTTTTAAATGCCTGGACGCTCGTATCAAACTTCGTACTCTTCTCAAATTTTGTACCAAGTATTAAATAAATAAGAGTACGAAATTTTGATACAAGCGTCCAACCACTGATTGCTAAGCGCTCCGATTATAACGTGTGGGTGCTATACCGACTGAGCTACATGTATGCTGCAACAATAGCTCAGGCCTTTCCTTTGGATTAATTTTTTAGACACCCGCCTAGGTAATCATTTTAAAAAATAACCAGCTCTGGATTGTTAGCCACCCCCTATCCTTCACAATTTTATTTAAAATTCTATTTTTTATGAAAAATTTTTTTAAACTCACTAATATCTTGAAATCCACCATTCCTTCCAATATATTCAGTAAAACAACTTTAAAAATTAAATTTTACAAAATTTCCCTAAAGTTTCCCCCACCTATCTCCCCTTTCAAGTACATATCTAATTGCATCTGTAGCTTGTAAATTTTCACGGAAACGTAAACATGTTGCTTCCTTATAATAAAAATTAGTTAAAAATCAATTTTTTATTTTTAAATTTTTTTACCTCCCACATTTTTATTCCACGACGAATTAAACTTTGGAAATTTGCTGAAAAAAAATTTTTTTTAATGAAAAATCGAAAAAAAAAATTTTGAAAAATTTTTTCAAATTTATTTTTTGAAATTTATTTTGAAAATCTTTTGATAAATGTCCGAAATTTTTTTTTTAAATTTTTTCGTTTTAAAATTAAAAAAATTCTCCAAACCATCTCCTCCCCATATTTGAAATGGAACTAAATTACTTGGCCATTCATATACTTGACCAGCAATTACCTTTTAAATTTTTTAAATAATATTTTTTTCCTATTTTTTAACCTGTCTTTTTCGTCTCAAATTTAAATTGGACATTTTTGTTCTCGAAAAGCGCTCTAAAAAAATTTTTTTTTGGAATTTTTCAGAATTTTTTCCAATTAAAAAATTCCACCTGTAATAGTAAAAAAATGTGGAGCTGATTTTTCTCCAGCCATAGGTTCTAGCCCAGGTAAAATTGGGAACGATCTATTTGAAGGGATATGAAGTAAGATTGGCCTTCCCATTTTTGCAATATTCAAAACAAAAAATAAAAGTCCAGTCCAAAAAGGGGAAGAAGAAGAAACCATCGAAGGATGGATGGCCTAAAAAATATTTAAAAAAAATTTGAAAAAATATTTTTTAAGGAAAATCCAAAGGTTAAGGCCCAGCAGCAGACATTGGCCCTATTTCGCTACCAGCTCCCATCTGCCACATTTTATTTTGTTCAGCTTTCTTCCGTTTTTTTAAAATTCTGCAGGGCCTATCCCTGACATTCAGCAAAATTAATAATACAATTGCGCATGTACATGTAATAATGATATTTAAAAATACATCGATCCGGCGCCGCGCAACTTATACTAGCTAGTAACACAACACAAAAGCAGAAAGCCCCGTAAGGTAAAAAATCAGTAAAGGAAAAAAATTGATCAAAAATGAGGAAAAGAGTCATTCATACAAAACAACATAAAAAATAATAAGTTTTTAACAATTAAAAAAATTGCTTTTGGTTGAGAAGGTGATGATGAGGAGAATAAAAAAAAGGTATGAGGAAGAAGGACAGACAAAAAAATTATTTTTGAATAGAAAAAGCTTTTGCCGGTTGTAATTTTCTCTCTAATAGTAAAGTAAAAAAGCTATTGCCGGTTCTAGTAGAGCCATCAAAAAAAAAATTAAAAACCTGTCTCTTTTCTGAACGGAGAGAGAAGAGGAGGAAATTTGTGAAGGGAAAAAAATGAAGAGGAATATAACAATTAAATATTATTATTGCCCAATTGTGAAGAATGAATTAAAAAATTTTGTAAATAAAAGAATTGGCTTTGAAATAATGTCCAACGGAATTTAAAAAATTAAATTCAAAAAAATAGAAATTGTCGAGAGATAGAATCGAGATCCCCCAACCCTTCCCTTCAAGAGAGAGATTCCTCCCCCCCTCCCCTTCAAGAGAGAGATCCCCCCAACCCTCCCCTTCAAGAGAGAGATCCCCGCACCCTCCCTTTCAAGAGAAAGATTCCCCCTCCCCTTCAAGATCCTCTTCTCCTTCAAAGCCCCTCTTCTGGATATATTAAAAAAAAAGAGAGATTCCTCCCCACTCCCCTTCAAGATCCTCTTCTCCTTCAAAGCCCCTCTTTTGGATAATTTAAAAAAACGAAACTCGAAAATAGCATTACGGCTATGAATGACTCCTCTTGATATTATCACCCTTAACTGATCTCTTTAAGGGTACTTGATCTCTTTAGGAGAACTAACGTAATCGGAAATTCCTTGTCCTAAATTTTATCGCTAGTTCGCTACAGTCGAGAGACCGTCCTCTTCTTTCCGGATATATTTAAAAAGAAGGAAACTCAAAAAATTCTTTCCGATATCTTCTAACGTCAAAAGAAGCTTCCTAATGAATGGTCCTTTGATGACTGGTCCTTTCGGTGGACTGACTAATCAAAAGTTCCTTGTCCCATTAAAAATAATTCAAAATATTTTTCGCAAGTTCGCTACTAGTCAGAAAATATTTTTTAAAAAAAGATATGGTCTCGGGCAGATGAATGTTCTGAAATTAATTTTATATATATTGCGCTAACAAAAAAATCAAATAGATTGCAAGGCCGTGATCTATCCACACACACGCATTTTTTATTCTTCCCCATTTTATTGGCAACCTTGACACTTTTTTTGCCCCAAATTTTAACAAAAAAAGGAAGGAAAGAAAAATCGGATTTAGAATTTATATTTATAAACCCTTTTAAAGAAAAAAAAAAGAAAATTTTCCAAATGCAAATAAAAATATTATTATTGGAGGTCGCGGTCGATCACTCAACAAAAGACGCAAAAAAAATTTTTTTGGAGCATGTACCCTCTTAAAAAAAGACAAATAGGAATAAGTGTGTGATGGCCCGCGGGCACTTTGACCGCGTAATTTTCTCTCTCCCCCTTTCTATAAATTTTTTAATACCTTTTAGAAAAAATTTTTTCCTTCTTTACCCTCGAATGAACGGCCGATAGTTTTGTCGTTGTTGTTAGAGAAGACGACCTAAGCAACCAAAAAAAGCTTCTTCCAAAAAGGTAAAGCAATCTTTTTTTGATGATGATCCTCCTCTTCTTTTTTTTCGCATCGCTTGAAAGAATTACAGCAACAGTGGCCTCGAAATGGGACGAATAAAAGAAAGGAAGAACCTGTCCTGTTGCTAAAAACAAATCAAAACCTAAAAAAAAAGATCGAAATCAAATAGAGAGAGAGAATTAGTAAATATCTGACATAATTATCTGGCTTGATTAGTTCTCATTTTACATATTCATTATTGACAAACAATTGACAACTAATGAGTATGAGACAAATATCCGAAAATTTATTCAAGAAATATCCCAAACTAATCAAAAAAATTTCCCTCCAAATCTGAGTTGAAAATTTAATTGATCTGGAGATTGAACAAAACTATTTAGAAGATTACCAAAGAGCCCGATCAACGTTAATCTTCTGAATTGATCAATTAATCCTATCAAATGATCTTTCAACTATCCCAATATTCACCTTCCTTTCCTCCACCACCTAATAACTAACCCCCTTCACCCATGGACAAACTCCTGACACCCCCCCCATCCCAAGCTTCTTCCTGCACTCCACCACCTCCTAACACCTCCTCCTCCAAGCTTCTTCATCCCCCCTTTCCCTACATCTTCTTCCTGTCCCCTCCTCCTCACACCTCCACCTCCAAACTTCTCCCTTCCCCCTCTCTCTTTTATCTTATTTTCCAAAATTGTTTCCCAATTTTTAATCCAAATCCTAAAAAAATTTTTTTCTTCTTCAAAATTGCGTTTCAGATAAGCTTTTTTTAATAGAAAACAGGAAAAGTGTAAATATACATATAATTTTTTTCAAAAAAAAGGTAAAGCGTAACCACCAAAAAGAGAGAGAGAAAATGGGATTATTTTATTTTATATTATTGCGCGTTATTTTTTTTTGTTTCTTTTTAGTTTTTTTTTTGTGTTTTATTTTATTTTACAACCTTGAACTAAAACAATTTTTTTAGAACAAGAAGTAAAATTAAATTGAGAAAAAAATTACATAAATTCTATGTAATTAAAAAAAGATGTTTTTTATTATATTCCCATTTAAGTTAGGGTTAAAAAAAATTTTTTTTCCTTACATTGACAAAAAATTGTCGAGAAAAAAAAATTTTTTAACCAATAAAACGTTAAATTTTTATTAAAGAAAAGGAAATTAATTGTTTTACTTATGTACCTAGTAAAAATTTTTATAGTACAATAATGAGCAGTATTATATTTTTATTGCACAGAAAATTAAAAAAAAAATTCTTTAGAGATTATGATAAATTTTTGAAAGAAAATTTTGAAAATTTTTTTGAAAGAAAAAATTTCAAAAAATTTTTTTCTTTCAGTTTAAATGCTTACATAAAATTTTTCAAATCTTAATTTAAAAATTTTTTTTTCTGAGTTTGTTAAAGCTTTAATTTAAGCAGTTTTTATTGTTGTGGTTGTTAGTTATGTTACAGGGTTGTTGATGCAATGGTGGTGTTATATTTGATAAAATTTTATGATATTCGGGCAATTGAGAACGGTAAAAATTGACAGTTTTGACTTTTAATTCTTGAGAGGCTTCCTTAAATTTTTTTTTCAGAAAAAAATTTTTTTGGGTTTTTTATGGAAATTTTTTAATTTTTGGAAAATTTTCAAAAATTTTCAAAATTTTCAAAAAAAATTCCACCCACCTCATCCACCAACCAAATACAATTATTGTGTGATTGCAAAGCTGAAAAAATTAATTTTTAATTATTTTTCAATTAAAAATTTTTTTAAAATAAATCTTTAAAATTTATTTTTTTTAATCAAAAAATTAAATTAAAATTTCACCGCTGGCAGTGCACATATGAGAAATTCCCTTTTCCACAGCCTTGTGTACAGCTAAAGCTTTATGAGAACCACTTGCCAGAACCAAAATCTAAATGAAAAAAAAAAATTTTTTGGAAAACTTTCTTATTAAAAAATTTTCAAAAAAATTTCTGAAAAATTTTTCAAATTGAAAAAATTTTAAAAATCACAATAAAAATTTTTCTTATCAAAAAATTTCTGATAAATTTTTTAAATTAAAAAAATGAGAAAAATTTTTTTAGGAAAATTTTTTGAAAATTTTCTTATCAAAAGAAAAAATTCTTTTTCCAACCTCTTTAGCTTCCATTAAAGTGCCAACACCAACAGTTATTGCCTAAAAATAAAAAAAAATTATTTTAAAATCATCAAAAAAAAATAAAAATTTTTCTAAACCTTTATAGGAACTTGACTACAATCATTTTGAAAGAAACGTGAATTTGCTAAAATTGTTTCATTATTAAGTGCCTGGACACGTGTACGACTCTTAAAAATCAAATAAAAAATTTTAACTTTCAAAAAATTGAAAAAAAAACGTTTAGACTGCTGCCAGGCTCATTAAAAGCTAAATGTCCATCTGATCCAATGCCTTTGAGAAAAAAATTATTTTTAAAAATTTTAATAAAATTTCTTACCAGAAACAAATAAATCAATTCCTCCAGCCGTTCGAATTGCTTCTCTAAAAATTTAAAAAAAAATTTAAAAATAAAAAAAATTTTCAAACTCATAACGATTGCATTCATCTAAAAGAGAAGGTGCTTGCCCATTTGGAATGTCAATCTGAAAAAAATTTGTGAAAAATTGTGAAATAAAATAAAATTTATTAAAATACACTTACATTCAAAGGATCAATGTCAATGTGACTAGAAAATAATTTTTTTTTTTTAATTTAAAAAAAAAAATTGTTTTGAAAACCACAGGAAATTTAAAGGTTTTTATATTTTTCAACTAAAGACCTAATTTGAAAAAATCCAAAAATAAAAAAATTTTTTGTGTTTTTTTTGAAAATCAAAAATATAGGCAATTACTTTTCAATGAAAACAGAATTTAAAAAAATTACAGAATTCAGAAAAAAGACAAAACCAAAAAAATTAAAAAAAAGTTCCCCAAAATTTAATAGAAAATAAAAACTAACCTAAATAAATTTTCAAACATGAAATGTCGATAACTTTGTGAATGTAGAGGAGAAATTCCAACATATCTTCAAAAATTAAATTACAAAAATAAAAATATTTAAAAATTTCTTACTCATCCATATTAAAAGTTTTTACACGTTTAAATGAAAGTTTTCCCATTTTGTGAAATTCAACCAGTTTTGAATACATTCCGATTGGAGTACTTCCTAGGAGAATAAATTTTTTAATTAAAAAATTCAAAAAAATTTCAAAGAAAAAATTTCAAAAAATTTCCCAAGAAAAAATTTCAAGAAAAAAAAATCTCGGGTAACCCACGATGTACCGCGAGCCCAATGTATCGCCGAGCTATACCTTTATTCAAAATTGTAGAATCCGTAGCGCCTTGGTATGGTTCGATGCGGCTCGTTCAGCTTAATCAACCCATACCATGGCGCCCCTGATTTGACAATATTGAAAGAAGTTATAGTTCTGCGATAACTTGAGCATCCGCTACCTTGCCAGCTCCCAAGTCTCAAAAAAATTTTCAAAAAAATTTTCCAAACCTGTAGGAAGACCCAAAACAAAAAATTTGTTATTATTTTCATTTTCTTTACAAAAATCAACAATTCTTTTACAAACAAATTCAGCCGCAAAAGTTGAGATTTCATTATAGTCTTTGAGCAATACAAATTTCATTTTTCTTTAAAAATATTTACAGAATATAGAGATCTGAAAAAAAAATTAAATTTTATTTCAACTATAAATTAGCCTCTTTTAATCGTTTTTACCAAATATTTCCTTATCTAAAAAAAATTATTTTTTAAAAGAGAAAAATTGATAAGAAGAAAAATATTTTAAAAATATATAAAGAATATTAATTACTTAAACAAATAAAAAAATTTTTATTTACCTAAAAACAAATTTATTTTTGATTAAATAAACATCAAAAATAACAATCGAAAAAATAATTAATTAATTAGCCAACCAAAAAAAAAATTTTTTCAACCTTTTTTTAAATTTACTAATTTTTTTTTCCAAAGTCATCTTCATTTTTTAATTCCAAAAAATATTATTCTCATCAATGTCCAGTTGCTTCCCTTCTAAAAAGTTCTTCAGCAGGATTGTTACTTGGCGATTTTGAATAATCCGGCTTGCAAGTCTTTTCCCAACTTGCCTCATAAGGATTAAAACCAAGTTCTAAATTAAAATAGAAAATAAATCAGAATTAAAATAAAATTCTGAATTTCAAACAAAAACACACAACAATTCTGATTTAAATTTTGCAAAAAAAAATTTTGTGTTTTTCATTTAAGAAAAATCAGAATTAAAAATACAAAAAATTCTGATTTTTTAACGACAAAAACACACAACAATTCTGATTTAAAATTTAATTAAAAATCAGAATTTTCGTGTCATTATATTTAAATAAACAAAATACAAAGAATTCTGATTTAAATTTTACAAAGAAATCAAAATTTTATATTATCCTTTGTTAACCAGAAATACAAAAAATTCTGATAATTTAAATTTAAAAATTACAAAAATACACAATTCTGATTTCTTTATAAATTTAAATCAGAATTGTGAAAAAAAATCAGAATTTTCTTTGTTTTAATTTTAACCCTAAAAAAATAAACTTACTCTCCATAACTGAACGCTTTTGTTTTTTACGATTTCTTTTATCTTTCTCCTCAAAAGTCATTGGTTCAAGCAACTCCAAAAATACGCCACAAGCAACTTTAAATTAAAATTAAAAAAATTTTTTGAATAAATTAAAAAATATAAAACTTGTAGTATTTTCAGAATTTCGAAGAGTAAAGCGTTGCTGCGGTAACATAAATTGATCAACACTGTAAAAAGAAATTTTTTTTAATTTTTTAAAAAATTTCAAAAAAATTTTTAGTGACTCACTTATATTCCAAAATAATTTCAGCATGCTACAAAATTTATTTAAAAAATAATTTTTGAAAAGAACCTCTCCAGGCATAATAAAATCTTTATTTGTATCCAAAATTCGAATATTTCCAACACAATTCCAAGTTAATGAAAAGACTTGTTCCGCAAAGAAATTGGCAATAGGAAGTTTTGAACCTCCCTGTCGATGACGAAATTGAAGAATTAAAGATTTGAAATATTTTTGATATTTTTTATTTTGTTTATTATTTTTGGAGGTGACTCAGTGAGTCACTTTCCATTTTTGACAATTTTTTATGTACTTTTTTGCAATGTACTTAACATTGCATCATTTTTATATAGAAATTTTTGCCTATAAAAAGTAGGCAGAAATTTCACTTTTCAATGTCTTTTGAGATATTCATTTTTTTTAATATTCTGTGTGAATATTTATTTTGTTTGAAGATAAAGAATTTTAGTTGTGTTTGTGTTTATTTATTTAATTTGTTTTATCTAGTTAATTATTCCGAGGGAATAATTAATTTAAGATATTTTAATTCCCTATTAAAGAATAGGAAGGTGAAATAGTTTTCCCTAAGAAAGGGGAAAGTATTTTTACATTTGGTGCCACGACCCAACGGCGGGTTATTAAAGAAAAAGTTAGAAGAATAAATTGAAGAGCTATAGGCTCAATTGATTTATTGGAAGAGCCGTGAAAAGGAAAGGCTCAGTAAAAAAATATTATTGGAAGAGCTGAGATTTGGAAAGCTCGGTAAAAAAGGATTTAAAAAAGAGATTAATTGGGAAATATTGGAATAAAATAAATTAAAAGATGTCAGGAACGATTAGAAGTACTATTGCGCCATCCATAGTACGATTGAAAAAATACCTTGAAGAGGTAAGACCTATCATAGATGCCACTGAACGCACTGAAGAAGGAGTAGAGTTACTCCAAAGAATGGCAGTTAAAATCCGTAGGGCAATTAATTTCGTGGAAGAAAAAGTTGAAAAATGGGAAAAATATATTAAAGATTTACCGGCAAATGAAAGAGTTGCCGAAGAAGGTGTTTTTGCTAGATATGCCATAGAGGAACGGCATTTTTTAGAATGGATAGACTCAGGAAGAGAGGCTATCGATGACATAGAAATTGTTCTTGCTGAAGGTTCTGATGCTCGTAGTACGCAGTCAGAGATCTCAGAGGAAATAGGAGTTGGCTTAAATCGGACAAATGAAGTCCGCAGAAATATAAATGTAGAGCAAGTCCCAGTTAGAAGTGAGCAGGTGCTTCCACCTCATCTTCCGCGGACTAGACTGCCAGAATTTTATGGAGATACTCTACGTTGGCCTGAATTTTGGCAGGCTTTTGAGAGAACGGTGGATTGTTTGAATATTGATAACGGGCTAAAGGCCCACTATTTGATACAATGTCTTAGAGGTAAGGCAAAAAGGGCAATTTTGGGTTATAGGCCAATATCAGAACATTATGCGCCTTTGAAAGATGCTCTTATAAGACAATTCGGAAATGAAAAGGCAATTAGAGATACACTGCATGCCGAACTAATTAGCTTGCCAGTGGCTAACGAATCAATATGGTCTTTACGTTCATATCTCGAGGAGGTTGAACGAATTTGTAGATCATTGACTGCTATGGGGCAATTAGAAGATGAATCTATAGTTATGATGGCAATTAAGAATAAATTGCCAAGAAGTATTGTTCTAGAATTATTAAAAATGGAAAAATTGGAGAAAGTAAATTGGAGTGTAGGAAGATTAAGAGAAGGACTTGCAGAAATTGTGGCCTTAAGAGAAGAGGCACAAAGATGCACGAGGTCATTGGCATATAAAAATAGTTGGCAAAATGTGCCGAATCTTAATCAAAGGAGATTTAATGGAAACACAAATAATCAGAGAAAACCGGAACCTGCGCGTGTATTTACAGCGCCAAAGAACCAAAAAAGAGAAATTTCATGTTTGTTTTGCAATGGTCCACACTTAGCTGGAAATTGTAAGCAAGTCAGATTTATTGGACAGAGAATGAGCATTCTGTCTGAACAAAATAGATGTTTGATTTGTTTAAGGAAAGGCCATGCCAAAATAGATTGTAATGTGAAATATAGTTGTGGTATATGTAAAGGAGACCACAATAAAATAATCTGTCCTAAAGAAGTTGAAAAAGAAAAGAAAGGACAGATTAAGGAAAATGAAAGCGTTAATCAAATAAGTGAAAATATGCTTAATATTGATGATAACGGCGAAGATAATATTGTTTTGATGAAAGCAGATTTAATGTTAAAAGAGAGAAATAATAAAATAAATGCAAAATGCTTCTTTGATTCAGGAGCAACAGTTAATTTCTTATGTAATGAACTTGTTGAAAAATTAAAATTGAAAAAATTAAAAAGAACAGAATTAGGAGTTGTCCCATTTTTCAGAAAAGAGCCAATAAAGCTAAAAACTTCGTGTTATTCTTTAAAGGTTCTTCTTGATAATGGAAATTTTGAAGAAATAATAGTTTATAGTATTAATAAGAATTTGATGCCAAGATTTAGATGCGCAGACTTAAGAACAAATGAGATTGCTTGCGCAAATATAGTCCCTGATATGCTTATAGGTATGAAGCATTTCTGGAGGTTCTTTAAAAGAATAGAACCATTATCGGACTATCTATTTAAAGTTGAAACGACTGTAGGGCCAATAATTTGTGGCGAAATTAGCGGTGAAAAATTTAAAAGATTAAATAAAAAGGAAAATTTGTGTACTATATTAAGTTCTAACACTTTGGAAAATGAGGAACTTAACAATTATTGGTCATTAGAGACAATAGGAGTCAAAGATGATCCTGTGTGTAAAGATGATAAAGTTGCTTTAGATTTATTTAATAGTACGATTAAAAGAAATGAAAATGGAAGTTATATAGTAAAATGGCCATGGAAAATTGAGAAAGACAATTTGCCATCTAATTTTTCATTGGCATATAAAAGATTTCTAAATCTCATGGATAAATTAAAGAAAAATCCAGATTTATTAGATAAATACGAGGAAATAATTAATAATGATTTGAAAAGAGGTGTGATTGAAAAGGCTGAAAAGAAGAAAGGGGAAATAGAACATTTTCTGCCCCACCACCCTGTTATTAATACAAAAAAGGTGCGCATAGTTTATGATGCTTCCGCAAGAATGCGAGAAGGAAAAAGCTTAAATGAATGTTTATATCGAGGGCCAATAATTATGCCGGATTTAGCAGGATTATTAATTCGATTTAGAGTGCCAAAAATTGCCATGTGGGCTGATATTGAAAAGGCATTCCATACATTAGAATTGGAAGAAGAAGATAGAGAAGTGACTAAGTTTATATGGGTAAAAGATACGAAGAAACCCATATCAACCCAGAATATTCAATATCTAAGATTTGCAAAAGTTCCCTTTGGGGTAATCTCGAGTCCATTTTTGTTATCAGCGACTGTCAGACATCATTTAGAGAAGTGTGATGACCCTGTTGCAAAGATTGCTAAAGAAAATTCCTATGTGGATAATATATTTATTGGAGTAGAATCGGCCAATGAAGCTTGGCTCGCTTATAAAAGATTAAAAGAGATATTTAGAGATGCTCAAATGAATTTAAGAGAATTCATCAGTAATAATGTGGAGCTTAATGAAAGTTTCCCACTCGAAGATAGGCTGGAGAAGAATAAGCCTAAAATTTTGGGAATACCATGGGAAATATCTTCAGATAAGATAAATATTGTATTTCCAATAGTGAATTCGGCTGAAAGCGTGACTAGAAGAATAGTTCTTCGTGAATTAGCAAGCATGTTTGATCCATTAGGACTTGCTTCACCTAGTCTTTTATCTGCAAAATTATTCTTTCAGTCATTATGGACTAAAGAGAATAAGTGGGATGATAAAATTAGTAAGGAAAATGCAATGAAATGGATAGAAATCACTAGGTCATGGACACTAGATCCCATCGAGATTAATAGAAGAGTGACTGATATTAAAAGTGTAAAACAATTGCATGCATTTTCTGATGCATCTAAATGTGCTTATGCTGCTTGCATATACATAAAATCGGAATTTGAAGGAAAAATTCATACACAGATATTATATGCACGAAATCGTTTGAAACCTAGAAAATCAGAAGTAACAATACCACGCATGGAACTTTTAGGCGTGGTTATTGCTAAAAGAGCTTTAGAATTTGTAGAGAAACAAATCGGAGTTGAAATTAAAGATAAATTTTTATGGTGTGATTCAAAGCCGGTATTAAGCTGGATAAAGGCAGGAGGCAAAAATGAAAAATTTATAGAAAATAGAATAAATGAAATAAGAAAAAATAATGGAATTAAATTTGGATATGTTAATACGATTGATAATCCAGCAGATATAGCCACTCGCGGTATAATGGCATCTGAATTAGAAAAATGCCATATTTGGTGGGAAGGTCCTGATTGGTTAAAAAGGCCTGAAAATAATTGGCCAAATGAATTGAATTTTGAAATTGAAAAAGAAGATACTTGCGAAGAAGATAATCAGGAATTAATATTAAGTTGTTTAAATAAAAAGATAGATGAAGAAGATAATTTAATAAATTTTAATAATTGGAACTCATGGAATAAATTAATTAAATGTTTAATGTTTGTAACAATAGCTGCTCGGATTTGGATAGAAAAGAGCAGAAAAATTGTAAAAGAAAAATTTCTTAGTGAAATAAATTTGAAAAATCGTATGTCGGCAAATAATTTCAAAAAAGTTGAAATTTTTGTTTTAAAAATTGCACAAAGTTCTTACAAAAACGAAAAGAACGATAATTTACAGACAATAATTGATGAGAATGGATTAATAAGATTAAAAACAAGAATAATTAATTGTGAAGCAGAAGATTATTTTAAACATCCGATTTTATTACCTAAGGGATGTTTTGCTATAAAACTTTTATTGAGAAAAATGCATGAAGAATTGAGTCACTCGGGAGTTGACTCAACAGTTGCAAACTTTTTAATGAAATTTTGGACGCCATGTGCAAGGCGCATAACTAAAATTGTTATAAAAGAGTGCAAAAAGTGCCAAAGAATTAGTTCGCCTAAATTTGCACTGCCGGATATGCCTATATTGCCTAAAGAAAGAGTAAGACAATCACGTCCATTTGAATTTGTTGGAGTGGATTATCTCGGACCTTCTATGTGCAAAATAGAAGGAGGAAAAGTCAGGTTTTGGATTGCGCTCTTTACATGTTTATCAACAAGAGGAATCCATTTAGACATAATTACAGATCTATCTGCATTTTCATTCTTGGATATTTTAAGAAGATTTGTAGCGCAAAGAGGCGCACCATTGAAAATAATTTCGGACAATGGCAATCAGTTTATAACGGTTGCAAAAGTAATAAATGCCAATATTGAAGGTAAATGGAAGAAAGAAAAAGCAAATAATGATGAAAAGTTATTTAATAATTTTTTATTAGAAAAAGAGATTGAATGGAAATTCATACCTGCTTTGTCTCCATGGCAGGGTGGCGTTTATGAGCGATTAGTAAAATTAGTTAAAGATTCATTTAAAAGATCTTTGGGAAGTCGAATATTAAATATAGAAGAGTTAAGAACATTTATAAAGGAGGTAGAAATGTCTATAAATTGTAGACCTATTTCTTATATATCTTTAGAAAAAGACGGCCCATTATGCTTGAGGCCAATTGATTTTATAATACCAAGAGTGGAAATTATTCAAAAATTTCCAGAAATTGAAGACGATAATTTTCGGCTAGGAAAAATGAGCACGGCCGAACAAGTTCAAGAAAGATGGATGGCCACTTTAAAAACGCTTCAGAGGTTTTGGGATACCTGGAAGCGTGATTATCTCATAATGTTGAGAGATAAGTCGAAGTGGACTCATCACAATCAAAGAAATGATTTAAAAAGAAATCCAAGAATTGGCGAAGTTGTTATTATGCATCAAGAAGGACAACCTCGCAATGTCTGGCCTTTAGGAAAAATAGTGGAGTTGGATGGAACTCCAGCTAGAAGCGCAAAGATAAAAATTGGAGATAAAACTTTTATACGCCCGATTAATAAAATCTCTCCTTTGGAGATTGAAGATGAGAATATAGTAGAAGAAAATTTAAATAATGAGAATGAAAAAGAAAATGAAGTAGATTTGAGTAAAAAAGAGACTGAAAAATTGGTGACTAAAAATAAAAATACGCATCCGATGGTTACAAGATCAAAAGTGGCTTTGTGCCTACAATTTGTACAATTAATATATATGGTTGCAATTGCATTTGCTGAACCACCAAGATATATAAATTGTAAAGGATGTTTTATGAAATGTAGAACTTTCGGCGTTGAAGCTAACGCAGTTGACTATATAAATAAAATTGAATTGTGTTGTGCAGGAAGCTGCCTTTTAGAAATAAATGGTTTGTCAAGATTAGCATTTAAAATTCCAAAAGATAAAACAGCATTGGATTATAAATGCCGAGCCACTTATTGGGGCAAAAGATACATGTACAGAGACTGGATTTCATGTCCAGCAGTTGATCCATGTATAAGAATATCAGGCTTACGTGAAAGAATAGTCAACCCACAATGTGAATCATTAGAAAGCTTACTACTGATTGGTATTGTAACGGGATTTATTTTGACTATTATTCTCTCTATAGCAATATTTGCCTGTAAACTCTTGTTAATTTTCGGAAAATTATTAAGAATAATTTGGAATATTGTTAAAATGCCGATGGAAATATTTTTTGCACAAAAGAAAAATAGACAAAAAGATATAACTAAAAAATTATTATTGAATAATAGAAGTAAAGTTAAAAATAATAAAACATTAAAAAGAAACAGAAGATTGAATAAATTACGTTTAATGGCATTATTGGCTATTTATTTAAATTTTATTCAATTAATTAATGGAGAAGTTGAAGTTGTAGTTATTCAAGCTAAATCTGAAGATTGTCTAAGAAAAGCAGGTATTTCTACTTGCAAAATGAACGCCGTAAATACTGTGACTTTTTTGCCAAATGAGCAAATAAATTCGCTCTCGTTAAAGAATAATAAAGGAATAATAATGGGAGAGCTAGAATTGTCAATGCATGGATTACAAATCCAATGCAATCAGAAAATACTTAGATATTTGAGATCATATGAGGTAAAAGTTCAGTCAATCAAAAGATGCCCAGCCGCGGGAACATGTAAAGCTGGAAGATGCAATCACATTAGAACTAAAGATTATGTTGAAGAATTATCAGAATGGAATGATTATCCTGGTAATTCGTTTTGTATTGAAGGAAAATCACTTTGGGGATATGGCTGTTCACTGCCTGGAGCAGACTGCTATTTTTATAGAGTATATGCCATCCCAAAGTCAGATGAGATTTTCAAACTTGTGTCCTGTCCTACTTGGGATTATAGTATTGAAGTAGACATAGGACTTGTTTTGAATGGAAATATGACAAAAAAGAGATTTACGCTAAATCCAGGAATGACTTTTAAATGGAAAGATATAAAATTTACATTATTAGATGTTACACCTCCAATGGCATCAGTTTTAAACAGTGAATTTATCATTGGAGAGGGAGGAATTGTAATTTCAGAAAATAGTAATTCTTATCTAGAGTGCTATGAAAATGCTGGAAATTTTTCAAAATGTGAATTAGAAATTAATGCATGTAAAGAATGCTGGTTAGAACAAGATATTGAGAAAATACAATGCGCATGTTCGGACTTTATTATTGAAAAATTAATAAAAGACCCACGCAAATCATTACCATTGGAGATAAATCGTATAAGATTAAGAAAAAAGGAAAACATGATTATTAGTGAATCTAACTATTTACCAATCATGTTAATGATAAGGTTTGAAGATTGGCTAATTTCTAGCAATATCGATATTACAATTTGTAAAATAAATCCTGAATATTTAAGAGGATGTTACAGCTGTATGGGAGCTGTTTTTAAATTTAATTGTTCCGCCGAATATGGATCGGCTTACGCTGAGATAAAATGCCCCGGAGGCAATATCTTTACAGCGAAATGTAATGAAAAAGGGATTGATCAAAAAATTGCACTTTCGTTTGATCATTCGGAGATAAATGAGATTTGTAATGTCTATTGTTCGGGAGGAATTACAAATTTCACATTAAAAGGACAATTAGAATTTATTTTACCAGAAAAGGCAAAGGTTATAGTAAAAGAAGGATCATCTAAAATATTCATAGAAAATAGTGAAAACAATTGGTTGACGAATCCATTTGCAAGTTTGCAATTTCTTGATTGGAAAAACATACTCTTTGAATTGATTAGTATACAAATGATATTTATGATTATTTTATCGTCTGTATTGATAACTATTGCGTTAAAGTTATTTTTTAAATATAATCCATTGTTTCGCGGATACAAACTCGCCGCGTCAGCACTTATAATTACAATGTTGGCGGGAGGTACACATTCTTCATGTGTAGAAAGATTAGAAACTGAAAGAAATTTAATTAACTATAATTATGTTAATATAATGATAGAAGCCTGTGTGGCTATACCTGAAAAGAATAAAGTACAGATAAAAGAAATTAGAGAAAATGAAATAGATTGTCCAGGTTTTCGAGGAGAGACAATTCTGAATAGCAAAAAGGAGGAAAGATCTCCCGTTGAAAAGAGAAAAAGAAACCATATCAAGCAATTTCAGGTCATTCGGACTATCTCGCAGGACTTCCCCTCATCTCTAATTTCAACTACTGCTTCTGCTCCAACAATAAAGACTCAACAAGTAAAAGAATTAATTAATAAAACTTCAATGCGACACAAAAAGAAAAAGTATTCTTCTCATCACACATTCGGACATACAACAAATAATTGTCCAATTAAAGGCAATGACAAGAGCACCTCACCAAAGTCATTGCTAAAAACAAATTCTTCTACAAACTCAAGCGCTCTTCAATTATCATCACACGAACTTGCCAATATGTCGCATCAATGTGCAACTCTCTTCTTCAATGCAACTACTGAGAATATGGAGAGATGAGAGGATTTCTGTGCGGGGAGTGTCGATGACGAAATTGAAGAATTAAAGATTTGAAATATTTTTGATATTTTTTATTTTGTTTATTATTTTTGGAGGTGACTCAGTGAGTCACTTTCCATTTTTGACAATTTTTTATGTACTTTTTTGCAATGTACTTAACATTGCATCATTTTTATATAGAAATTTTTGCCTATAAAAAGTAGGCAGAAATTTCACTTTTCAATGTCTTTTGAGATATTCATTTTTTTTAATATTCTGTGTGAATATTTATTTTGTTTGAAGATAAAGAATTTTAGTTGTGTTTGTGTTTATTTATTTAATTTGTTTTATCTAGTTAATTATTCCGAGGGAATAATTAATTTAAGATATTTTAATTCCCTATTAAAGAATAGGAAGGTGAAATAGTTTTCCCTAAGAAAGGGGAAAGTATTTTTACACTCCCTCTTCTGGACGTAAAACGTAAATTTGAGCACGAACTAAAAAATAAAAAAATATAAAAATTTTTCAGACCAAAAGGGTAAATAGAACAAAAGGCAAAAATGAAAAGGAACACCAAAAATTTAGAAATTTCCCAAAATAATTTTAAAAAAATGAAAAACAAAATCCTCAAAAACCTACTAAAAAATAAAATTTATTTCAAAAAAACCTCTATCAGTAAGCAAATGTTTATGTCCTTGAGGTAAAAGAACACATCCTCTTTTAAGATCTTTTGGTTCAACACCACGAAGCAAAATACCTTGACAAAAAATTTTTTTTCAATTCTTTAAAACTTTCTCATGTGGCGGCTCAACTGTCCCCACAATTTTAGTTGAGCCGCCACAAGCAAAAATTAAACGGTCTCCAAAAACCCAATTTTAAAAATAAAAAAAATAATACCCAATTGATCTCCAGGTTCACCTTTATCAACAGTTTTACAAAATGTTTCCAAACCTATAAAATACAAATTTAATTTAAAAATTCTTTAAAATCAAAAAATATAACCATTAACAATAGTAGTCTTATTTTTTCCTTGTCCAGCAATTACCAGTTTGTCGCCTTTCTTTACTGATCCTTGTTCTAATTTACCAGTGACAACTCCACCTTTTCCTGCAAAAAAAATTTTTTTCAAATTTAAATTTCATAAAAAAACCTTCAATATTATAAACTTTTTCAACAGCAAAAATAGTTTCATCATTAACCTCACGTTTAGGAATTTTAAAATAATTATCCAAAGTTTCGAGAAGTTTAAAAACAGATTTTTCACCAATTTCAGGATTTATTCCTTCCAATGCAGATAATGCCGAGCCAATAATTACCTTTAAAAATTTTTTTTAATCGGACAACAATATAAGATAACCCTTAATGGTAAAAAATCGTATCTTATGATCAGTACATTATTTAAGCAGCTCCCCTTACAATTAGCCCTATGACCATCAAAGCTAAAAAAATGTATTTTAAATTGAGGCATATTCATTGTTCCCGTCCTATCCATGATATGAAGGGTATACTCATAGTGAGGATTAACTGCAAGGGTCCATATAATCCTTTAATGGCATACCGGCACTTCATCTCCAGGATATTCATATTCATTCAAAAGTTCTCTAACTTCCATTTCAACAAGTTCACGAGTTTCTTCATCATTTACTTCATCACATTTATTCAAATAAACACAAATATTATGTTGAGGAATTCCGCATTGACGAGCTAACAATAAATGCTCTCTAGTCTAAAAATTGAAGTTTTTAATAGTTCAAATATTAAAAAAACCTGTGGCATAGGCCCATCAGTAATTGCTACAACAAGAATGGCTCCTTCCATTTGTGCAGCTCCTAAAATTTTTTAAAATAAAATTAAAAAGCAAAAATTAAAAAAAACCGGTGATCATGTTTTTAATGTAGTCAGCATGTCCAGGGCAATCAATATGTGCATAATGACGAGCATCCGTTTCTAAAAAAATTTTTTTAACATAAGAACGTTCAAAATCAATTCAAAGGTCTAGGAAAAAACAAAATCCCCCTCCCTCCAAAAAGGAAAAAAATTAAAAAAAAATATCAAACCATATTCAATATGAGCAGTATTAATGGTAATGCCACGAGAACGTTCTTCTGGTGCATTATCAATATCCTCATACCTAAAAGGGAATTTTTTTCGAAAATTAATTTAAATAAACTTTGTAAATTTCGCCTTCTTTGAAGTAGCGAGTACTAAAAATTAAACAAAAAAAATTTTTTCAATAAACAATTTATAGTTATTATTTCTGCTATTATTTACCTTTCGTAATCGCAGATGTAAGAGTAGTCTTTCCTATAAAAATTTTTTTTTATTTTTTTTTTCAAAAACTTTTCTTAAGATACCATGGTCAACATGCCCAATTGTACCGACATTAAGATGAGGCTTTGTACGCTTGAAAACTGGCCTCGAGCCAGGAATGTAGGTCGCATATAAGCGCTCTAAATTTATAAAATCTAATATTTTTTAAACAAATTAAAAAGCAAACTTGAAGCTAGAAAAAAAGAAGTCCGTGCCAAAATCATTCTAAAATCTTTTCTAAAATAATTACTAAAAAATTTAATTTGAATTGGTTAAATTAAATAGTTATAAAAATAATAAAAAATATATAGACAAAATAAAACTGTAAAAAAATAATTTTTTTTTAATATTATCTTTCATTTACAGATATGTATGCGTATTATTAAAAAATCTACCAGAGTTAAGGAGAGCTTATGTCACTTAAAATTAAAAATACGGACATATTTCATCAAAATTTTTGTTTTTGATAAAAATAATATTGTGCCTTCGCCCACGAGCTATATAAGAGCCGAAAAATTCTAAAAAATTTAAAAGAATTAAACATGTTTATCACCAAGGCTTGTCTTTCTCCATATCGTGCCTTTGCCCCCGTGCCTTTCGCCAAATTTCATCTTTTTTGGGTGTTTCACCTTTCGTCAAATTTTTTTAAAATCGTCTTTCCCCTTTTGGCCTTCTACTTTTTAAAATTTGTTCTGGCAAACCCCTGAGTTCCGTAAATTCTTTTCGGAAATGAAATATGTCCACGAAAATAATAAAATATATAAATAGGGTTGGACCCGACTAAAAATTCCTATTCCTTTATTGACCGACATCCCCATTTGCCAGAAAAGTTGTTCTTGACAGGTCGGAGACCAACCCTATATACACACATGTATAACAAAATTAAACAACAACAAAATTAATTTGAGAACTTTTCTTTTAAAAAAAACCTCTCAAAATTAAATAACAAAAGTAGTAGAATCAGAATTTGAACAAACTAATGAAGCATTAAATGGACTACAAGTTAAAACATTTATAGGTAAATTCCATTTTACAGTTTCAATATTTAAATTATCTGCTAATAAAGATTGGCCGTTTTTAAAGGAGCTCATTAATTTATCACGAGTAATTACAAATTGAAAATGAATACGCCATCTTACTTTAACTGAAATAAGGAAGTAATAGATATTTACTATGATTATTTTTGAGGTTTCAAACAGAAATGCACGAAAATTTCGGTCTATGGACGAAAATAAATGACTATAGGTAGGAAGGAAAACAAACGAAGAGGAAGAAAATTCATATTTTCCTTAAAGCTAAAAGTAAAGAAGAGGGAACACGATACGAAAAAATTTTCGTGCAACTCTGGTTCCAAAGACGTAACCAGAGTTCTGCTTTCAACGAAGGGAAGGGGATAAAATGACTAATAAAGACTGCCCATTTAAAAAAACTGGAAATTTTTAAAATAAACAATCTTTGGACAGTCTCATGGATAGGGTTGGCCTCTCCGATCCACTGGGTATGATGAATGTTTCTGTGTCAGGGTTTGGCCAAAAAAAGGTTCGGGTCGGGTCAGAGCTCGGAAAAGGAATTAGAAAAGATCCAAGTAAGTTCCTATTTTAAAAAAATTTCTTTTAGTAATAAAAAATTTTTTTCTAAAGCAAACCAAATTCAGTAGTAAAACATGGCACAGCAGTCATTGGCAAGGCAAGTTTAAAATATGTTTGTTCCATAAATGCAGTAATTGAATGCTCTTTACAATGTGAACAAAAATTTTCAGGTTTTGAATCATCTAATAAATTTGTTTCGACTGTTTCGGCAATTATTAGAGTCTTTTAAAAATAAAAAATTTTAATAAATTAAAAAAAAACCTGAAGACAATTGATCCCATCACGAGGAAAATCTAACCTTCCAATTACATCATCACCCAATTTAAATGTATTTTTTAACATTGTAATTTTTGCAAATATTGTTCCAGAATTACCAATTTCATAAAGTCTTGAAAAGAAAATTTTTTTAAAAATTAGCTAATGTCCGCAAAATATTTGCGGACATAACGACAAAAACGAATTTATTTCTCTCAACCTTCTCTTCCGTGAAGAACAAATTTCTTGAATTTTAGCCATAGCAATTTCAACGATTGATAGCCTAAAATTAATTAAACTTATTTATTAAAAAATTGAGAATAATTGTAATGTGGGATCTAATGTCACTAGCAGCGCTTGGAAATTTAAAATCAGCCCGTACTCCTGTTCACCCCCAAATTTTGGCTCCGTACCACTACACCCTATAATTTTTGAGATTGGCAAGCGTCCAAGCGGTAGTACCCAAGTCCAAGATGTAACAAGGACAACAAGTCCTTCAAATCTAAAAATACCTTGGCAACTCCAATTTAAAATCTTGACAATCAAGCAATTCTTTAGGAGTCTCTTCAACTTCAATTGGTGGTTCTTCAACATCAACACCTATATTTAATACTTTAATTGGTAATTGTGACATTTTTAATGGAGATTCTGGTTGTTGAGCAGCACAAGAAATGTACCAAAAATATTTTTTGTAGTGACCCTTAAAGGGAAAAATTTCAAAAAATTTAAAAAAATCCAAAAAAACCTTGAAACTAGGCGGAACATCAAGTAAAGGAATCAAATGTTTTGCTTCAAATTTTTTTACTTCTCCAGGATTAATTATTATATCACAAAAAAGAAGTGTTGGATCAGACGCAAAAATTGCATTTTTTGCTTTTGTAAAAGAAGTTTTTAGCCTTTGCCTTTTTACACTTTCTTTATCGTTGAGAGAAGAAGCTTCACAAAATAATTGAACACAACTCCAAGCTATTGATTTGGGCAATTCTTGATGGGTATTTTTGAATGTTACCTACAAAAATTAAAAAAAATTCGAGAAATTTTTGTCTGCAATTGGCTGTTCGCAAAATAAAGCAGAGCCGGCTCTCCTTCAAATGATGCAAAAAGTTATTCAGTAGCTATGAGCGAACAAGCATCTTCAATCTCCCCAAAGTGATGTTTAACCTACCCGTTTACCCGTTGTGACTTTCTGTACCCCAGGTTAAGGTCAAAACAGTTCTCGACCTTGTCGAATTTGTTTTAATTCCAAAAAGTTTAAGAACAAAGATGTGGTTAAAAGAGAATCCTTGCCCAAAAGAACTTTTCGGTACCCAAAATGTAGGCCCAGATATGCTCCTGACCTAGATGTTTCAGATTTTTCCTACTACCTCTGGTCCAATAAATGAGAATATAAGTCTAACCCTTTAGCCAAGTGTAATTTAAAAATTTTTCCAAACCTCAACTTCAACATCTTCTCCAGTCAAAAAACAACCGCCTTTCCTCCTCAATTCCATTATAACTTGTATGCTCATTCCAAAAAAAATTCTAAACAATTTAAAAATAAAATTTCAAGATAAAAATTGATTAAAATTAACATTAAAAGGATCTAAACAATTTTCAAAAAAAATTTATATAAATTAAAAATCTAAAATAAAATCTAAAAAAACTATTGTTAGTAGTTAGTCCAACCCCCGAGTCGTCAGGGGCAGAGGGGTCCGCAACATTAATCCCTAATTAATTCCATGTAATTAGTCAACTAATTAAAGTCAACCTAAAGGTTTAGGGGCATCTCATACCATCACAAGGGGTCTTATCACAGATAACTGATATAAGAATATGTAATTAATCCCTAATTAGCTCCATGTAATTAACCAATTAATTAAGCCCACCCTAAAGGTTTAGGGACATCCTGTATCAACCCAATGGGTTTTATCAGTGATAACTGATATAAGAAAAAGTGTTCCATGTAATTACCCTTATTTCCATGTAATTAGTCCCTAATTAAAAGTGTAAGGCCGTGCTTGTCCTTGACAAGCAGGAAGAACACTTAAGCACCCGCCCTATAAGGATAAGGATAGGATTATTTAATGCATGGGAAAACAGTTGAAAGGGATCAGTCTAGTTGGGCCCAACGGGAGAAGAAGGAAGCAATCACTTTAATCTTAGAGCAGCGCCGCTAGCTAATGGTTTTTATTAATAAGCGCTAAATTTCTTTTCCCGGGAACGTTCTCTTTTGTTATTCAATGTCGACTTTATAATCAATTATATTATTAATAATTTTGTTTGCTTTAACTTTACTTTATTCAATCGCGATTTTAGAGTTTACGTTTAAATAAATATTATTTTATGAGCAACAATTAGGGCCTAAGCTTTGCTTCTAACGGAGCACATACAACGTTGTATTTGAAGTTAGAGTAGCCCTCACGGTGTCGATACCTCGCCTCATTTAATTTACTGGGTGGCCCAATACGTGTAAACCTCACTGGTAGCACCGGATGGTTCTTTTGAAGAACCACTTCAAATAAGAAAAACCACATCAAAAAAAGTATTTTTTTTAATAGGATTTAATTAATCTATAAGTGCGTCAAAGCTCCAACCAACACAATCATGGGGAATCACTTAGCAGAGAAAGATAAAAAGATTTGAAATTCAATCTATAGCCATAAAACGTCTCAAGATAGAACAAAATTACTTTCAAGAAAAATTCGAATTTATTCGATAACTGCTAGAAGTCCCTATAAAGTATTTATTTTGACATATTATCTTTTTGCTCAATATTACGAAATATGACAGAAAATGTTTCATTTTTAAAGATTGGTTATTCTTTTGTCTGCTCCTCACGTGATAAATTTTCAAAAATAAGGAGGGAAAAGTAATAAAACAAAAAAAAAAAGAGGAAGGAAAACAAGGGAACTCAGAAAAAATCGAAATTAAAACGCCAGTCACAAAAAAAAACTCCAGGCGGAACTTTTTACAATTTTTTTATGTTATCTCTCGTGATGACTTTCTGTTATTGTATAATGAAATTTTTTTTTGCAGCCATAATTTTCTTCAGGTAAAAGGTGAATCATTACTGACAGCATTTTATTCATCGGGACATTATTATTTATTCTTATTTAGCTTTTATTTTCTATCTTTATTTATTTTCACTCTAAAGGTGTTTTAACTTTATGGTCGAATATTAATTTTTATGTTAGAATTTAATTTTAGACTTCCCTTTTGTGTTTTGATAATTTCGAATATTACACCATTAGTTAACGAGAGTATATAGAAAATACGGGGGTCTTTAGGAAATATTTACAAAATTTTAAATTAATATTGTTTTGAACTTATAATTTCAATTCTATTTTTTTGGTGTTTGTTTATATTCTTTTGGTTGTTTCGGGTATATATTAAGTAAAACATAAAATGGAGGACGTGTTCCTCACGTTACAAGAAGAGCAATAAATTTCAAAAAAAAACAATAAAAGAAAAGAAAAAGGGGAAGGAAAATAGGAAAACAAAAAAAAAAAGTAAAGTTTAAAGTGCGAATTAAGAAAATATAGACTGGTAATCTTCGATTTGGCGTTTTTTTTGGATCCATCTAAAATTTTTTAGTTTTTTCCATTTTATATGACTTTTTTCTAAAATACAAAATGAGAAAAGGATGGGACCAAAACACATCTTTCCTCCTTTTTGAGAATAAAAACATTTCAAAAGAAAAATGGTTTAAGAAACATTCATAGACCGATGGACAATAGCTATTTATTTTAGGTAACATTTGCACAAATTGTAAGAAATGTTTTAAATTTATTCCATATTATTTTCCCGCAATCCCTTTATAAAAACAGTTTAACAGTTTTAATATTAGTCATTACATTTTTATTGGAAAAATTTATTTGTTTCCTTTTTAGTTACATCCATAATTTATTATTATTGTTTGCAAACATTGTTACATTATATAAAAATCCTTTTACCAAACATAAACAGAAAATCTGTTACCGTCTATATAAAATTTTAAAATACATGTAAAGTTAGTGAACACTTTTATTGGCTTTTACTTATTACATTCGTGTTAAATAGCTTTGAGTTTTTAGATAAATTGCCTTTATTTCTCTTTTATTAATGATTCAATTAAAACTTCAAATTTTTTCTTATTTATTAGGAAATCCTTTCATGTATTTTTTATCGTTCGCAAGCTTAATAAAATCTTAATACAATTTTACTTGTGCCTCTCTCTCATTTATTAGCTAATTTTTTGAATGTAATATTAGTGAATTTCTGGAAGATAACTCAATATGAGGAAAATTACATTATCGAAGAAGAAAAAATTATTAGAATGGCCTATCTATTGTGTTTATGACTTAAAATTTTGAATAGATAGAAAAATTGATGATTTATTAAAAAGGTGGGTTACAAATGAATTAGTATCATGAGGAAGAATGTAATAAAGAGTGTATTTTCCAGAAAGACCTATAAATATATTCTCATTAGAAATAAGGATATAGAATTATCCTAAAAGATATTGGGATCTAAAGATAAGTTATCTATTTTGCGTTTAGAAAATTTACTTCTCATAATAATGAACACAAAATATAATTGACAAATTTACATAGTATGTACAAATATAATAAGAACCAACATAAATTCAATTTATTTGTGTAGAAGAACCTGTCAAAAATGTATTAAAATATTTGTTTGCTTTTACTAAAATATTTGTTTTTTACTCCCACATAAGTTTAAAGAATTAAATCCTCATTTTTTTAACAAATGCCTTTTTTATAATTTTTAGTTATTGGTTTGAACTTAAACCATAATAGCACGAATTTTTTATTTATTGAATTTTTTTTTTGTTTTATAATACTAAAAGTATCTCCTTAATTACATAATTATTTAATTAAATCATAAAGGCTAATGTCAATTATAAATATACAAGGAGGAGGTTTAATCGAGTATTTGCACTTACAATTGAGTATAATGTAAAGGGAATTTAGTGAATAGATGGAGGTTAAATCATTTGGTTTTAATCGCTTCATCAAAGATTCATAAGTACATAGTAGAGGGTGTAAAGGGATCAGGTCCTGGCCCTATTTCTTGGTTTGTTGGTCCATTTTCCAGAGTACCGACAGTGTTTATTCTGCTACAATTTCTTATTGTCCATTCACGGGTATGTAAAAATCCGACTCTCTAGTATAGAGTAGATATTGAAGTAAGGTGGAAATAAGTAAAATATAAAAATCCAAAGGTTATCCACGTGAAAACGAGAATGACTAATCAGAGGTGTAAAGGTTTCAAAATTACAATAAAAAAGTAAAGAAGACGGGATAAAATTATTACAAGTTGAAAATTTAATGGCTGGGAAAAAAGGATAAATGTATGAGAAGCAATGTAAACACTTCTAATCTTTAACTGTTATCAAATAAAAGAGCTTGTCCAACCATTATATAAAAAAAAAAAGAAAAGCCTGACAAACCATTATTAAAATTACAATAGAATTATTAATATAGTATTAAGCATTAGGGAAACAAATTCACAATTTAAATTGTTATTGAAATAGTTAAGTTTAAAGATAAATGTTAGGTTGTGAGAAATTTTAACAAAATAAAAAAATAAATTTCTGCATCTAGAAAATAAACTATAGTTTTGAAAATAAATTTTGGAGTTTTTTAATTTTTGAAATTTAGAAAATAAACTTTACAAGCACAATAAACAAACTGGTGGATGAGTGAGACAGATCCAATAGAATCAGAAACTCCATTCATCAATAAAAACCTCTACCGGGGTAAAAGCAACGGCTCCCGGAGATTTGGGGAGTGGACACTTGGGGATTGGACATTTGGGGAGTAGATAAATGGGGAGTAAGCGGACAATTGGGGAGTGGACATTTGGGGAGTAGCCTAACGATAAAAATACAATAGAATATTAAATAGTTTTTCTTGCTTTTGTATTTAAAAAATGGATATAGGATAGTTCACCGGAGGTAAAAGTTTGGGGCGTGACATATGTCATTCGATTTATCTCGGCGAGCTGAGTCGAACGGTACTACTCCCAATTTCATAAATGATTCTGGACCGAGTTGTAGTTCCTAAATGTTGAAAAACCATAGGGTGGGGGAGTAAGCTCGATTTTGGGGTGAAGAATTCGAATATGCAAGTAATAGCTCATTCGAAAGAGCTCCTCGAGCTGAGTCGAAAAGTTTTAATTATTTTTTAAATTTAATTATTTTCTATATATATTGGGGTTTGAAATGGTCAAATACCATTGGTGGGATTTTAGGGTCAAAAATTCGAAAAAGCATATAATAGCTCATTCGAGAGCTTCCTAATTTATTTTTTTAAATACAAAAGCAAGAAAAACTATTTAATATTCTATTGTATTTTTATCGTTAGGCTACTCCCCAAATGTCCACTCCCCAAGTGTCCGCTCACTCCCCATTTATCCACTCCCCAAATGTCCACTCCCCAAGTGTCCACTCCCCAAATTTCCGGACACGAAAGCAACGAAGAATATGCAAAAATTGCTGATTTGGATAAACTACTACAAGCTACACACA